TCGAAATAATTCGATATTTTGTGAAAAAGTTAAATTTTTTCATACTTGAACATTTTCGAACCTCAAAAAGTTCGAAAACTCGTCGGATGTCACCTCAATTTTTTAGTTGAAATATGTTTTTATGTTAGTCCTCTATCCAATGGTACATTCAAATCTTTGCCCCCAAGATCGGAAAGATTCGAAATAATTCGATATTTTGTGAAAAAGGTAAATTTTTTCATACTTGAACATTTTTGAACCTTAAAAAATTCGAAAACTCGTCGGATGTCACCACAATTTTTTTGTTGGAATATATTATTATGTTAGTCCTCTATCCAATGGTAAATTCAAATCTTTGCCCCCAAGACCGGAAAGATTCGAAATATATCGATTTTTTATGAAAAAGTTCAATTTTTGTGTATTTGAACAGTTTCGAACCTCAAAAAGTTCGAAAACTCGTCGGATGTCACCACAATTTTTTTGTTGAAATATGTTTTTATGTTAGTCCTTTATCCAATGGTATATTCAAATCTTTGCCCCCAAAACCGGAAAGATTCGAAGTAATTCGATATTTTGTGAAAAAGTTCAATTTTTTCATACTTGAACATTTTCGAACCTCAAAAATTCGAAAACTCGTTGGGTGTCACCACAATTTTTTTGTTGGAATATGTTCCTATGTTAGTCTTCTATCCAATGGTATATTCAAATCTTCGCCCCCGAGACCGGAAAGATTCGAAATAATTCGATTTTTTATGAAAAAGTTCAATTTTGTGTATTTGAACAGTTTCGAACCTCAAAAAGTTCGAAAATCACTCCAATTTTTTTGTCGGAATATGTTCTTTGGTTAATCCTCTAGCCAATGGTATATTCAAATCTTTTCCTCCGAGACCGGAAAGATTTGAAATAATTCTATTTTTAATGAAAAAATTTAATTTTCACATAATTGAACTTTTTTTTCAAATATTGAATATTTCCATATCATGTCATTATAATAAGTTGCAGTAATATTCCCAAATCAACATCTGAATATAAATCCTCCGATAGCGTGATGTCCCAAAGTTTTCGTAGAAAGTCAGAAAGTACATTTTGTTAGACCAGGAAACACTTTAATATGAAATTCGGGAATACGAGTTTGATATTTGGCTGGTATTTGGCTGGCATGACAGTGGTTGAAAAGCGGTTCAAGCTACGAAAAATTGCTATGCATACGCAAAGGCATCAGGGGTCGACAACCTACGGCCCGCGGATTAATATAATCCGGCCCGCGACGCTTCACGGCGTCGTCAAATAGTAAATCTATTTCGTCGCTAATATCGACACGTCTGTTACCCAATAATTCATTCCTTATTAGGTCACAAAGAAAGAGAAAAATTATCACAGTCGCCAACTCAGAGAACAAGATAGCACGCTCTGCTGCACTCTTCTCCTGCTTCTCTCTTTTTATGTTTGCATTTGTAGGTCGGAACCTCCTTTTGAAATTTAAAAACGGCATTTTATAGCCATTTTTCATGCTTTTCAGAACCTCAAGACTTGCTGTTACGGTTCCACATCCGAGACAAACAACATGTTCACTATCTGGACTGGTAATCGGACGGGAGACCATGGTCGCCATAGATTTGAGCCTCAACTCAAGGATAGGATTTACATATTTTTGCCGGGAGAAAGGAAAACCAATAATACGACTCATATGGGGACCCACGGCCTCTCGTCCGGTTACCAGTCTATGTCGGGTATGGGATTATTTAGCCAGGTATTTTGTTTAATAAGAGAGGAAGCCATGACCCTACCATCTGTTACGTAACACACCCTATGTCAGTGGCGGAGCCCAGTAATCCTCTCGCACATACTTATTCCCCGCAGGATCTGCGAACCCATGCTGACTAATAAAAGGTGCAATGGCGAGCATACCCGAACACTTAGCACGACGCGCCACAGTGCCAAGCTCATTAACTTTTCTCTCTCTCTCTCTGGATAAATATGAAAATGATGCATTTTATATCTCTACACATATATTTAATGACAAGGTCCAACATTCAACCACCGTTACACTAAATTTGGCGCTCCAGTAGTGTATGTACCAATTTGGAGGTAACTAATTTTGTTCGCCTATTTTACATCAAGCTGTGTAAAGGGACTGAGACCTATGGGCAGGTGGTATATTCAGTTGGCTAACACAGACAGTTCCAGACTCTTAATGGAACTAAATTAGGCAAAATCAGAATAAAATTATGGCCTAACCTGGTACACATACTACCGGAGTACCCTAAATTTTTATCAACAATCTAGTCTCACAAAAATCTATAGATGTGACACATTCATCAAAGAGCGGACCGTTCAGTCCTACATTTCAACTGGATCTAAAATGAATTTTTTTTTGTAAATGTGGAAACAACAAAGTGAAGTTGATAGATAAATTGTAACATTGCTACCTGCACACTGAAAAGGGGGTGACAGTCTTCTTATTGGCTTTGTATTCCTGCGAAAATTAAATTTCCATCTTTTTTAATAGTGCATTATGGTAGGAAGAGTGTTTACTGGGTTTATCCACGTGATTAATTAAATTGAGACGTCTCTATTTTTGGCTATTAAAAAATCTGACTTTTTCCAGTTATTCAACCCGGGGAAATGCATATATATTAGCAGAAAAAACTTTTTATTAGTAACTGCGAGTATTCATAACCCTAACCCAAAAGTAGGGCTGGGCATTTTCGAATACCTGATGATTTCAGAATCGAATCGAATATTTTTTTCGAATCGAATACTTGGGAGATATAAAATTGCATGTAACTTTCTTATTGTATTGGATCCTCCAGACACATAAATTACTGGAAACGTATAATACATCACTCAGAAAGATTGCTGAGCGTTCACACACAATAAAAAGCACGTTTCATCAATAATGCACAACAGAAAAGGGTCCTATGTCAGAATTTTGTTGAAAAAATATACCTCGACCATTGGCAGAAAGGAAAAAACAAGATGGCGGCGATTCGAAATTGCGCTCTGAACCGATTCAAATAATTTACTATTCTATTCGAAATGCCCAGCCCTACCCAAAAGAAGAATGGGCCCCGTACATAAAAACTTTTATCAGCGAGTGTAAGCATTCATATAATGGGGTGGAATGGACTAGAAAAGGTCTAAAAAATCTCTTTTCACATCTTGCTCTTGCTTAACATTTATATTCTTGTGAGACTCAATATTGGAAAGGCCATCAAGTCACTCAAACTGAGAAGCCTAGCAGACAAATAAATCGTGCAAATATGCTTCAAAAACAAAAAATAAACAGGGGGGTGTTTTTTGCGAAAAAAAATAAAAATCAGTGCGGTTGCTTGAAATGCAGTTAATTTCTAAACAAGCCTCTTTACATAAGTCAGTGTAGGACTCTGAAAAGTGCAATCTGACAGACACAGTAGCAAGGATGGAAGTTGTACTTTGACATATCTTTAACGGCACTCCAGAAGTGTGTGTACCAATATGGAGGCAACTAATTTTTGTTCGCCTACTTTACACCAAGTTGTGTAAAGGGACTGAAACCTATGGGATCGGGGTATATTCATTTGGCTAACACAGACAGTCCTGAACTTGTTATAGAACTAAAATAAGGAAAATCAGGATGAAATTATGGCCTAACCTTAACCTGGTACATACACTATTGGAGTACCTCTTCAACTCTCTAGTAAGTAGGAATAGCATACATACATATGTTTTAAGGGGATTTAAAAGAAGCAAAAGCAAAGTAATTCACTGTATAAATGAGCAATATACGATAGTAACTAAAATACAGAGAAAGAAGGATGCTTAGAGTGAGGCCTACCTCAACTTCGTACTAAACCATGACAAACTGTAGGGTGAGATCCATCTCAAGCTTACAAAGTTGCGTTCTGGCATGATGGCGTAGCAGTTAATAAATTAGACCATTGGTTCCCAACCACCATGCCGCGGCACATTACCGTGCCGCTAAAAGACTTTGGTGTGCCGCGAAGAGATTTCATTTTTGAATTTATTTCAAGTGATTCCAATTTCCAATCTCTTGAATTTCGCAAGAATTACCTCTTGCTAACAAACAGAAACGACAAAGTTGTGTTTCGGCATGGTGGCGTAGCAGTTAAAACTTTAGACATATCTATGTTTCCCCTCGCAGGCTACAGATTTAGAGTCCAAATACCACGTCGCCCCCTCACCTAGAGTAAAATACATTTGGTGGGCAGTGACGACCTAACGAAGGGATGTCGCAGGATTAAGCCATCTTAGTAATTTCCATAAGCTTCACCTGAAAGGTTTCGATCATATATAGGGTGTCCGTAAAGTCTCTAAATTTTGTTAAATTGCAAAGGGAATTCATCAATACCATATATTGTTTTGGCCCTCTCAGATGTATTAAATGAAATGAAAATACTTAAACAATTACTGATTAAAATACAATAAACATGGTTAAGATATATTGAGAACTGACTTCATAACGAAATTGTGAAGGGATTGGACACCCTGTAAATTACACTTTTTGAATTTTTCATCGGAGGCCCCATGTTTGCACATCACTTGGGTAGAAATTAAATAAAACACAAAATATATATTAAAATGATAAATTCTACAAATGCACAACACTGTTGAACTCTATTAACCCTTTCAAATTGAGATCATTGACGTAGGGAAAGGGTCGGCAACCTTTTGTCGCTCGCGGGCCAAAATTAAGGGTTGCAAGTCATTGGCGGGCCACACATATTTTTAGAAAGATAAAACCCGAACGGATGATACTTTTTATAATGAAAATCAAGCAGTGATACATCTCTGGAATAGAATATATATTTATTGGACACGTTTAGTGGCCATAACGATCGTTTCAAAATTTTTTTGTTATTGTTATTTGTCTCCGTCTCCATTTTAAAAAAATCGCTTCTCTCTTCGAATACTGGACCAATTGCTTTGATATTTTCAGTGGTTAAAGATAAAATTTTTCTCCAGAAGGCTATTATTTTTTTTCTCGCTATGACGTCATTAAAATTATTGCCACTGGGTGACGCTACGTGTCCATATATTTGAGCATAGCTCTCTTGTTTCCTTATTGCATCTCATAAAATGCCATTTGAATATTTTCAGCGCCATTGAACGCTTTGCACTTAGCATCAACTTTTCTGCATTTTCTTGCCATTTGTCTAGTAATAATCTAATTATATGCTCATTAACGAGTAAATGTGAATTATGTACTTGTTAGGTTATGATACAGTCTAAAGAATATAATCGCCAAAACGGCTGTTTTGTTACTAAAATTCAGTGAAGCGTTGCGGGCCGGATGGCCATAGGTTGCCGACCCCTGACTTAGGGTAACCTATTTCTAAAGCAAGTTCCCTATTGGTCAAAGTATTCCAGGACAAGCGCACGTTTGACTAACATTGAAAAAATAGAACAATATGGAATTTGAAACACTGTTTGAACTTGTGTAAACTCTAAAGTTATTCCATGTCATTGTCCTGAAGTACCCTCTACAAAAGGTTACATCAGGTCAAACTTTAGTTGTCCTTTGTTTAGGCAGCAGAATATCAAATTCATCAGTTTCATCAACATCTTTGTCCCTTTGATTTACTCTGGTTATGTTCTCTGTAGCTCCAGACTGTGTTATTCTGTTTGAGAAAAACAAGGAATACAAGCTTGGCATTTACTACATGAGGCGTTTTCATTCTGGGCCCTGGGGTCTTTAGGGGGTCATGCAATGTCGTTCCAGGGTGCATTATGGGTAGATATTCACAGATAATATTCGCCAGGACTACATTGAATATAAATTAAATTAACTGTTATTTTTGTTCAATTTCTTTTTTGCTTTCGTTTGTTAATAAATGGTGACTAAAGAGGGTCAAGCCATTAGAGCCGCTGGTCAAGTGAATCACTCAGTTACAATACATTGCAGTTAGTCGATTAGCTGCAATAAAACGTCTCCAGCTCTGGTTTAGGTAGAGACTAGTACCGACCGAAAATGTCTGAAAGTTCAAAAGAAAAATCCAAGCCCTTTCAAGAATACCTGCATCTCAGTGCTTAGGTGGAGACTAATTCAGACCAAAAAGTGTGGGGATATCGCAAAAAATACCCTCTTTTACACATATAAGCATTCTATGCGTCTTAGGTTGAGCCTATTTCATAGTAAAATGAATGAAATTCATACCAAACCAGCTAGGGTAGAAGGAATATCTCGATAGATGCTTAGAATGAGCATTGATCAGGGCGAAAGGTAAGAAATATTCCCACCCAGTTTTACACAAACAGCGTTCTATGGGTCTTAAATCACTGCTTATGTTAAGACTATCTTTAGCAAAAAGTATCCCAACTCTCCAAAAACATGTATATTTCAATGTATCTCAATGAAAAATCGAATCGAAAGATCAATCTCAGAGGAAAACGAAGAAAATGTCCCAGTCCTCTTAAATCATAATAACTTTGCGAATTTTGATGTATGCTCAGACAGAGCCTAATTCAGAGCGAAACATGTGAAATATCGCAAGAAAATATCTTCTTAAAAAGCAATTTCCTATGAATTTTAGTCACTGCTCAGGTAGAGTTTTGTTTAGAGCTAAAACAATTAAAATCTCATATCCCAGCCTTTCAAAAACATATCTCAATGATTGCTTTTGTAGAGCTTAATTACTTATCGATCTTAAGATCGGTAAGTATATTGATAGGTATTTGTCTGTCTGTGTGTCTGTCTGTTAGATGCACGCGATATCTCACGAAAGCGAGATTGAATCTGCTCCAGATTTTGCATGTGCATTCATCTTATCTCGAACTAGGAGCCTATTGATTTGGGGCGAATTATGTCGTATAATTAGCGAGTTATCAATCAATTATAGATATAGTGATCTAGATTTTTGTAAAGCGAGAGGATTTTGAAACCCGCCGAGTGTGTGTGTGCGATGCGCAGTGCGCAAGTTACAAGAGGGGATAAATCGAAACTGCAGTTTCTGTTTTGGGGGATCCCCTAACTATCGATCGATAAGTCTTCGGTTTCCAACCGATATTCTCGTTTGAGAGTCACTGCATGAGCCAGGGAAGATAAAATGTATTACTAGCTTTCTGTTGACTGCTAAACAAGAGCCTAGCCCAGAGAAAAAAGAATAAATTTCACAAAAGGGTGGTAAAAGAACTCACGCTTCCTCTGGGTCTTCATCACTGTCATACTGGTCCAGCTTCAAGTACGGGTTATCACACCCAGGGCGAAATTTGTACCCGGTGATCGCGAAGAATATGAAAGCTCCGGCTTCAGAGAATAGCTGGAAGTATTGTATTCGAGTTAGTGATAGTAATTGGACACCATGTCCAAAATTTTGCCGCAATAAAATTTCACTGTATATCAAGTTGTTGTGATAAAAACCGTTAAGTTTATAAGGCTCTTAAATAATGAATTTTTTTTAAATAAAAAGATACTTCAAAAACCTGACTGTTTTGCCGCATAGGAGAATTCGACGCATGAAAAATCACTGCAAAAGCATTTTGCTGTAAATCAAGTATTTGTGATGAAAACTGCTAGGTTTAAATGGTTAGGGTAAGCTCTTAAATAACAAATTTTTTCTAAATAAAAAAGTATCACAAATACTTGTTTTACAGCAAAATGCTCTTTCGATTTTTCTTATGCGACAAGATTTCCTGCCAGGGATGGCCAATACCGAATAGTTCACTATTTCGAATACATTCGAAATTATTTTTTTCGAATATGAAATTTCGAATACTTCGAAAATAAAATCCACTAATTGAAGCTTACCTAAATGTATGTAGGAATTTCCATACAATAAGCAATGGAATAACTGCTATCTACAAGTTACAACCTAGCTATATTACCAGGCATTTCATATTTGCAGATTATTGCAGTATATATTTTATATACCATGAGTCATGTTAACAGAATTAAATTAATACGACAATAGTGGTATCGATGATGGATTAGAATATTTGCGCAACACAAAATCATCGTAGTAAAATGCCCATACTTTTAAATACCAACCATTATCCAAATTATTTGTCGAAAAGCGGGATAAAGTATGAGGCATTTTTCCGACTTATGACAATTTTTTCGTGAGTACAAAAATACTAATCAAAAATTAATTATATTTGGGAACTTTACCACACATTTTAAGTCCGCAGATCGCCGTTGTATGTTTGAGTAATAATACTTTTATTATTTCATAAATAGGAAAATAGTTTAGGAAGGTAGTTTATCATCCATTGTAAGTCCACAGATCGCCGTTGTATTTTGTAAATACGAAAATAGGAATCAAAAATTAATATTATTCGCGAGTTTGCCACACAATATATGTCCACAGATTGCCGTGATATTGTGCCGAATATAATTAGTTTTGATTCTTATTTTCGTACTCACGAAAATGTGTCACGAGTCGGAAAAAGAATTTATATTTTATCCCGCTCTTGGGAACTAATTTGGAGAATGGTTGCCATTGGTTTGTATTTAAAAGTATGGACTTTTTACTAGGATGATTTTGTGCTGCACAAAATATTCGAATCCATGACCGATACCACTACTTAAAATGCCTTACCGTGTTGATTTATTTATATTATCATAACTCAAATGTTGGTAAATCGGGCAGTTTACCACACATTTGAAGGCCACGGATCGCCGTTGCATTTTAGAATTATTAGTTTTATTATTTTGTAAACACGAATACGAAATTAATTATAATTGGGCAGTTTACCACGTATTTCATGTCCACAAATACCCGTTGTATTTGGCATTAATTCGCTAATAATTTCATATGTTTAGAACCAGATCATGTTAGTTTGGTAGAATCATACTCACAGAATTAACTATTTTTAACAATTGAGCGGTAAATTTAAGTTGTGAAGCGGCAATCATTTTGGACAACCTATTAACCCGAATGTTGAAATAATTTTGGAATGTGATAGGTACTAACTACACTGTACGTCCACGGGTTATTTCACAGCTGTTTTCCTGTCCCTGTCGTGTTTTGCTGAATCGGCAAAACGAAAGGGTCACAAATCATTTTATCTTGGTGGACGTGTTTCTCTTTAAAGTAACGATAACCAGCCTGCGATTAAATATCATGATTGGCAGACCCTAAGACCCAAATATAAGGTTACACAAATCATGCTTGAGAAGACTCATGCGAATAATAAGCAGGCCACATAAAAATTAAATATGCAAACGTGCAAATGTGTCGCAACACTATGCGACATACGGTCGCACAGAATATAAACAATCAAAGTGCCGATTCTATTTCATCGTCATTACGTGAGACAGCGTAAAAAGTCGTTTAAATATTCCCGCAAAACGAAACACCACGTTTACGGCGAAAAGTGGCTACTATTCGGAATTATTCGAAAATCAGCCGAAAAGGTATTCGAATACTTTGATATTCGAATACATTCGAATATTCGATTCGTTTTGGACAACCCTGTTTCCTGCTGCGAATTTTCCTAAAATCATTGGGCAAAAGGTGGATAGTTAAGTTTATAGGGGTAGGATAAGCTCTTAAATAACGAATCTTTTTCAAATAAAAAGGAACTTCAAAAACTCAACTGTTTTTATCACAAATACTTGTTTTACAGCAAAATGCTCTTTCGATTTTACTTATGCGACGAAATTTCCTGCTGCGAATTTTCCTAGAACCATTGGACACAAGGTGGATAGTTAAGTTTATAGGGTTAGGGTATGCTCTTAAATAACGAATCTTTTTCAAATAAAAGGAACTTTAAAAACTCAACTGTTTTTATCACAAATACTTATTTTACAGCAAAATTCTCTTGCGGCAAAATTTCCTGCTGCAAATTTCCTGAAACCATTGGACACAAGATGGATATATGGATCGTTGTATTATTACGTTGTTGTTGTGAAACTTTTGCAGAATGTTTCTAAAATCTTGAATTTGAGAATATTCATAGAAAGTACTTACAGCATGAACCCATATGAGTTGGAATGGCAGTGTGATTTCCAGTAGATAGACAATTATTCTTGTGAAATAGAGATAACAGACAACCTGAGAATAAAATGAGAGTGTTATGGGTTCTACAATAACTGACATGGGCTACAATAACTGACATGGGCATGGGCAAACCACCTGATGCTGCCACAAGCAAAGTAAAACCAAATTTTGAGGTTTCAGCTAAAAATAGCTCAAGGAATTTATTGAGATTGTGATTAAATTTAGTTTTGGCACAAGTCTTATTGTTTTCCTCTTTTGGTTTTGTAACACTGTAAATATTGTTCATAAAGTTCACAATAACATGGTCCACGAGACTACGTGGGCACAATTTTTGTCTCGTGGTTTAAAACAACTGGCCCAGAGCCTTGCTTAGAGCAGAGATTAAGAAGCAGAATGACTCACCAAAATATAAAAATGCCTGAAAAGTTCTAGTTTTGCGAGATTCATTGCAGCTTTCCCATCTGTTTGTGAGGCTTCTTGAAGGTGGCGAATCGACCTGTTAACATGAGGGAATTGAAATGTTGATTTTGGCTCAATGGGCTTAGGGCTTCTGTGGCATTCTGGCAGAATTTACACATCATATCAATTTATATACTCAACATGATTGTCTGTATGTCGAGCAGTTTGTCTGGCATATTTGTCTGTTTCTGGCATGTTTGTCTGTGTTTCTGGCATGTTTGTATGAAGTCTAGTATGTTTGTCTTTCGAGTCTGGCAAGTTTGTCTGTGATGTTTGTTTGTATGTTTGTAAGTCTGGCATGTTTGTTTGCCTATACGTCTGGCAAGTTTGTCTATGTGTCTAAAATGCAAGTTTGTTTGTTTGTGTGTCTGACAAGTTTGTCTGTGCGTCTAACAGCTATGTGTCCAAACTGTTCGTCTGTATGTCTGACAAGTTCGTCTTTGTATGCCTGGCACTTTTGTCTGTGTGTCTGGCATGTATGGTTAAACACCAAAGAATTGTCTGTATGTCTGACAAGTTCGCTTTTGTATGCCTGGCCCTTTTGTCTGTGTGTTTGGCATGTATGGTTAAACACCGAATGATTGTCTGTATGTCTACCAAGTTTGTCTGTGTGTCTAAAATATTTGGTCTGTTTGTATGTGTGACATGTATGTTAAATACCACACATGATTGAGTGACTGTATGGTAGACAATTTTGTCTGTGTCTGGCAAGTTTGTCTGTCTGTCTCTGGCATGTTTGTCTTGTGACATGTCTGTTTGTGTGTGTGGCATGTATGTTGTATGTTGCACATGACTGACCAACTGTATTTCTGACAAGTTTGTCTGTGCATCTGGCATGTTTGTCTGTATGTCTGACAAGTTTTTCTGTATGTCTGACACGTTTTTCTGTATGTCTGACACGTTTGTCTGTGTGTCTAACACGTTTGTCTGTGTGCCTGGCATGTTTATCTGTATGTCTGACATGTTTGTCTGTATGTCTGACAAGTTTGGGTGTATGTCTGACATGTTTGTCTGTATGTTTGTCTATATGTCTGACATTTTTGTCTGTATGTCTGACATGTTTGTCTGTATGTCTGACACTCTGGTCTGTATGTCTGACATGTTTGTCTGTATGTCTGACACGTTTGTCTGTTTGTTGAACAAGTTTGTCTGATCAAACTCACCATACAACAGGCACCAGTATGGCTCCACAGCACAGGATATCAACCAATATAACAATATTTTTCCAGGTGTAATAGGACTTGTTTCCCTCCTCTGTTTCTTCCATAATAATATAGGCTACGTTTACCATGACCTAAAACAAGGAGTATTTTATATACATTGTTGTTGGCGGACAGTGACAATCACCACAAAAAAATGAAATATCTGAAAACTAAACTAGTAATTCAATAAGAAGCTGGATAAAAGGCTGTGGTTTGCTATATAATTGTGCCGTCATATCAGATTTCCTCTCCCCAGGGACAAAAATAAAAATCTTACTCCATTCCCCAGTTCACATGTATGGGTATTCCCCCTCAAATGAAAAAAAATCTTATTTAACTCCCCCAGCTGACCTGAACGGGTATTCCCCCAAGATGGAAAAAAATCTTATTTATAATTCCCCAATTCCCCTGGGTGGGTATTCCCCATGGGATGGAAAAAATCTCATTCAATCCCCCCAGCTATCCTGCACAAGCACGGGTACCCCCCCGGTATAAAAAAATTTCGTATTCAGTTCCCCAGCTCGCCTACATGGGTATTCCCCTCAAGATGAAGATAAAAATCTCATTCCCCCATCTTAGTTGCACGGGAATTCCCCCAATAGTGAATTTTTTTACTTAATTTCCCATTTATGTGCATGGGTATTTCCCCGGGATGAAAAAAATCTTAGTCAATCCTCCCCGTCCACATGCACGGTTATTCCCCCAGAATAAAAAAAAATCTTTCATAATTTTCCTGCTCACCTCCACAGGTATTCCCCCCAAAATAAAATTCTCATCAATCACCCTATCTCACCTACATAGGGTATTTCCCCTCCCCGGGATAAAAATCTTATGTAATTCCTCAGCTCACCTGCATGGGTATGACAATCATAAACAATTTCTTGTCTCGATCGCTTAGAAGGTATTTAATGAACGCCCATCCTGTGCCGATTAGCAAGAGACAGATGATCAGGAGAATGCCTTTCAATCTGAAAAAAGATGATAAAAATTATGAGAGCGACATCTAGTGGCCACCAAGGATATTAAAATATAGGGAATTGACCTTGTTTAGCTCATAGGGTGATTCACCACATTATGCTGAGTGTTGACATTGCACCTCTGAATACTCTACTCGGGTTCGAATCCTGTGATAGATAATTATGTGCGAGAGGATAGTGGAACTCCTCACTATTGTTCATGTAACCGCCACATTATAAACACTCAGATAATAATACTTACAAATGGACGATGTAATAAATGACGGCCCAGGCTTCAGTTCTCCCATCTTTTGCAATGAAATAATAGTCCAGCTGAATAGAGATTTTATGAGTGGCATTAGGAGAATATCAGAATTTTAATTTTCAAACTTCTATTACTTTATATTGAAATACATTGGTAAATATTGCTTCAAAATATGATAGACCACCTTAAAAAGGAAATTGTGGGACACTGCACACTAGTCACGCCTATGGTCCCAACCTTAGGAGATAAGCATGCTCACGTTTACTTCTGAGCGATCGCAACTTTACTCAAAGATACGAGTCTCTTTTTTTATTCCGAGCTAGTACACCTAACCATGCTTTATGCTTTGAGCGAATCAATCCCCTTAAAAAGATTCCCCAATTAATGTACTTACAGAATGAAACATCACAGAAAGCCCTTTCACAAATATAATAGCAGCCATCAGGTAATGGATCTTGAAGACTTTTTCTTGTGTAGTACAGATCAATCTCAACCAAATACAGCCGATGAGAAAGAACATTGCCGATATAATGCCGTACATCATTGGCAACGCCATGTCCCCAGCTGAGAGATAACTATCCATGTTCCTCTCAATAATGTGAGCCTGTGGGTAGGATATAAAAAACAATTTTATTTTTTGTTCACTGGTGTTGAGGGTGTTGTGCCCTCAACTAAAAGTTCAGTGAGTCGCTGTGCTTATTTTAAGAATATTATAATGGATTGTATTCTTCTGGACTTGCCTTTCAGAAAAAGTGTTTGATTGTCAAAAACAATTGGCGTTTTCACCCTTTTACTGTCAGTGTACCTCAGTGACTTTTAACTTTTTGTGGAGCGAAACCCAGTAAAACATCGCAGTCGCTTGAGGCAGTGTTCTTCAATCTTTTTTATCGTGGTATACCTTTTATAATTTTTTAAGAACTTTGTATACCTTACAAATACCAAGGTTTATTTAGGGCTTGTATAAACATTAAAATTTATGCACATATTGTACTGCAATATCATCATGCAATCTAATAGGCTAGTTTCCGCAAGTTATAAATTTGGCTGACGGCCTTACAGACACGTTAGCGCATTATCTATATAATTCGTGATGTAACATTGTGCTCACGTCGGTTCTTTGCGTAAAGGATATTTTATTTATCATGTGTGCTGCGTTTGCATTGTTGTCTCCGCTTGAATATTTTATAATTTATTATATTAGAGTTTAGAATCACTGACTAGTATAGGCTGTACACCTTTCGTATACCCTTTATACCCTGCCCAACTTATGGTCTGGTATACACTCGGGTATACCGTATACCCGGTTGAAGAGCACTGGCTTAAGGAACCCCTTGGCAATCGTTTGATTGGCCGAATTGTATAAAACAGCAATTTTAGTTTTTTGTTCACAGTGTGTGTTCACTAGAAGTTGAGTGGGTGACTGCGCTTATTTTACCAATATTATAATGAACTGTGTCCTTATGAACTTGCTGAGTTTTCAGCTGCCAAACTCGATTGGCTGTCTCACATTTGACTATTCCAGAAGCTTGAGGAACATATTATGTGCAATGATTTAGGGACCCTACTAAAAAGGTGGGTATCACAGGTAACGTAGATATCACAGGTATCCGTGACTAAAAAGGTAGATATCAGTAGTAGATGACTAAAAAGGTAGGGTTAGGGTTACTGATACCCCCACCCTTACCCAACCTTTTTATCTTTATAGTCACTGATACCTTTAATACCTGCCTTTTTAGTAGGGTCAATTATTTAATTGTTTGAACTGTATAAACTATATATATATATAAAACCGAAGCTAATACTGCCCAAACTTTGAAGCGTAGCAAGTTCATTAACTTGTGGTTTAACCTGTAGAACCAGAGGGTGCCGCAAAATCCTGGTTAAAAAAAAACACCGCAGCAACACTGTAAGAGCACTTGAAGCCAACAAAGGATATTCAAAGGATAAGGATACAAGAAATTCATATTTATCCTGAGGGAGAGGATAAGCCAAAAAAAATGGCCCAATAAACATATGGTAAGTAAAAAAATATATGCATTTCAGACAATGAATTATAAACAAAATCACTTTTATTTAATGGTATCTAGTAAAGAATTTTGCTTGCGCTAGTTTGCTAGCTAGTTTGAGATGAGAATTTCAAATTGGGTTTAATCAGTATGTATATGAGATGATCCTGACATGCGTGATACACACAGAATAAGTCTGGGACAAGTGGGATTGTATAAGACAAGCATTACTATCGGGACTATCGGGATAAGTGTGTAAAAAGCAGGACAAGTGAGTTGCTAGCAGGACAAGTGTGAGATAAGCATGACAATTTTGATTAAGAAGCTCCAGTTTATCCAGCACTTAAAACCCCAAAAAGTTGGAATGTGTGATTATAAATAAAATCTCACCGTAAATGCTGCTCTTGCTGACTTTACATTCGCTTCCTGAGGTCTGTTCAGAAAAGAAAATTTGTTTTAATCGACACATATTTGCACATTTCGCTTCGAACAAGGTACCGCATAAGAATTCACTGATATCTAATGATATTTAAGAAGCAAAAAAGTTTGTAGGAGGACCAGAATCTTTGCCATTCGGCACTGCCTATTCACGGGGTACGAAGGGTGTTTGGCACTCCCCTATTATGTGCACCAAGATGGCGCACAACCTGAACCCCAACCTGGTACACATACTATGTTCAGGTTGTGCGCCATCTTGGTGCACATACTACACGAGCAACGGGGGTTTGGGTATTAAAGTTAAGTAAGCCAGAAGACCTGTGTCAAACGCTTGAACAAAATAAACTTACAACTAGACCAGGGTGGTCCAAACCCAGGCATGCGGGCCACATGTGGCCCGCAGCTTCATTATTTGTGGCATGTGTCGCATTCGAAGAGTAATCAAGAATCGAATTTGGTATTGTTTCGTCATAAAATTAACCAGAATTACATCACTAATGTCACTGAATTGACTAGTCTTATGGCTGTATGAGGCAACTAGCAAAGTTGAATGATAGTGTTTGTTTTGTATTGCCCTGTTTACCTATTTTTTGACGCTATTGTGGCCCGCGAACAATGCAAATATAATTTTGTGGCCCTCGGAGCTGACAACCTTGGACCACCCTGAACTAGACCATCGAACCACGCCACATGCTTAGATGACGGCTAAACGAGAATACTTTTAGTTAAAAACATGTCAAACCAACTTGATACATGCATGGGCTTGATGTGGGAAGAAGATGTAACCGCCCAGTAGTTATGTGAACCATCCTACGGCACCAAGAAGTCCAGCAATCCTCTTGCACATAATTACAAATCCAAACATTTAGAAATAAATAAAAATCAGTAAAACAAATAACGAGAATATCAGTCAGAGGCCTAAGACTTAGGGGCCTCCCAAAACAGCGCTCTTAATCCATAGTGACACCTTGTGTCCCATCCCTAATTAATTAATAACTCGCTAATTATACGACATAATTCATCCAAAATCAATAGGCTTCTGGTCCGACATATGATGAATGCACATGCAAAATCTGGAGCAGATTCAATCTCGCTTTCGGGAGATATCGCGTGCATCTAACAGACAGACAGACAAACACCTATCATCATACTTACCGATAAAAATCGATAAGTAATAATCCTCACCCCAAGTTTTCACAGTTGTGGAAATATAATTCGTACAACCCAATCTGGTTTTCTTCCTCCATTCGCACATAGAATAAGATGTTCATCCCGTCATTGTAATTCCCGGCTATGGGAAGATAGCTAGGCTTTGAATACTTCGTGGCATCGTATTTCTCTTCTTCGGTGGCATCTGCGTCAGCATTATCTTTTGTGGCATCTGTTTCTTCTTTGGTGGCATCTATCAAAAAGATATATAGAACATGCTTTTGAACGTGGTTTCAATTATATTGAGTTTTGAGGCTGTGGCCTAACAAACAAGTCTATTATCAGGAACTGGACCACTCAGGAGAGTACTTGCCCAATCCTGATTTAGAATGTTTAAACCAGGGTGGTCCAAACCCTGGCCCCTGGCTTCATCATCTATGGCCCGCGTCGTCATTGCGAGAGGGTGAACGAAAAATCGAACAAAACAAAATTTGGTGTAGAAAATAACCAGAAAAATCTTTTGACACATTGTTACATCACTAATGTCACTGAACTGACTAGTGTTATGGCTTACTTAGGCAACTAGCGAAGTTGAATGATGTGTCTGGCTAATCTAAATTATTTGCTTTCTATCTTTTGGGTCGTGAATATATACTAGCAAAATAGGCTTCATAAATAACTAAAAATCGAATGAGGAATTGATTAGCCTTGGTTGACTACGTCTGATAACTAAATATCAATTTTATGGCAGAACAATATAATTCCTGCCAAGTGTTTTTTCGCAATCAGCCAAAACAGTATTACAAAACATGCTGCCTATATGTCAGAAAATTTAGTAATCACCCTTCTGTATCTCAAATTTGTAAAATTCGATATTTAATCAATCTCCAGTTATTTATGAGTTGCACTCTTGTGGCCTGCGAGTCCACCAACCTTGGACCACACTGGTCTAAACTATTCAAGAACATTCATATTTATCATGCTATGCCTGACATAGATAAACTAGGACCCGCGGGCCAAATCCGGCCCGCTGAGTAATTCAATATGGCCCACCAGATGCTGCCACTACCAAACTAAACCACAAATTTTGATGTTTCAGCTATAAATACCCCAAGTTATTTGTTGAGATATTGTATAAATTGTTCATAAAATTTAACCTTTTCGCGTTACAATTGCATGGCCTGCCAATCTAGGTGAACGAAATTATCGGCTTTTGGTCCAAAAAGCTTGCCCACCCCTGTGCTATGCTATGGCTCGGTTTGTTTTCACTAAAGTCAGAGTCGAACATATGGCTGGAGCAAGAGTCAACATTGTAAACTCTTTTGAGCTATGAATTCAAGCCAGAATTTTTATTTCTCCAGATTCGAAAGTTGGGTAAGAATTTGGCGCTCCCGTAGTATGTGAACCAAGACGGCAGACACCGGAATGTAGTATGTCTACCAGGTTAGGGTTAGGCCATATTTTTATTCGAATTTCCTTTATTTTAGTTCTATTAAGAGTTCGGTGATTAGCCAAGTGACTCCCATAGTATTTGTACCTGAAATTATGGCCTAACCCTAACCTGGTACACATACTACGTTCCGATGTCCGCCATATTGGTTTACATATTTCGGAAGTAGCCAGAATTGTAATGATGGAAAATAAGTCTAAACTGCTGGAGCTGACTTTTTTAACCCAGAATCGCCAGTCGATTGTAATTTCTCTCCATACTTGGAGGTTTTTTTACATCATGAAGAATCTCTTACCTCCTGCAATGGCAGCTCTCTTCTTTCTTCTTGATGTCGCTTCGTTTGAGGTTGCATCTGGTTTTGTGTCTGGTTTATTCTCCTCAGCCTGTTATAGAAACTTTTTTTATAAGTTTGCTTGAAGCTCGAGCCTTCAAATAAAAGTGGAAAGAGTACTAAAAGAATGGTTGCAAGCAGAAAGAGTAGTGGTCGTTGCCACAATTCAAAGGGCGTGCAAACTGCGCCCCGTGGGCTAAATGCGGCTCACAAAAAATATTGTGCTGCCCGCGGCGAAGTGCCAATTTTGAATGGTGTGCCCGCGAAAGGAATTTTTAGTTTAGATATCTGGTACATGCGAGCAATTTCAATCCCTTTGAGTCACATATCATATGCCAGTGCCTGAGTGTCACTGTCATATAAGCAAAAAAGGATATTTCAAATAAAAGTGCGGTCCGCGGATTCATCCAATTACTTAAACCTGGCCCTTCTGCAATTTAGGTTGCACACCCCTTATCTAAATCTGCACATCTCCGTCGAGCAGAAAGGAACTGTAGTTCACTATCAAGAATTACAAGCATGAATAATAATGCACCAATATATGGCAAACCAAAACATAGTTATCACATTTTTGAATCTTTTGTAGCCGTTGATCACAACGCGAATTACAGCGATAAATAAAAAATAAAAAAATCTTTCCACAAATAACTTTGATCTATCATAGACTAACTTTTTCAAACAAAACAATATATAACTGCAAAGATAAGGATCACAATAATTGTTGAGCCAGGTTACTACAATAAAATTAAAACGAAAATATCGGTCAGAGACCGAAGACTCATCTATCGAAAGTTAGGGGATCCCCCAAAAAAGCGCTCTTACTCCATAGTGACACCTTGTGTCCCATCACTAAGTAATTGATAACTCGTTAACGACAACGATAAGCCAATTTAACCCTGTTGCCAAAAATAATAGCATGCAATATTAACAAACTGGTAATAATATGTTGATAAATCGCCGCTAAAAGTAGAGAAGCGTTATGTGCAGATATCACAAGAATTTAAATTCGCGACGAATTCACTTTCAGTGATATAGTTAACGGCGCATTGAAATGAAAAGTTGATTATTCTCGACCAAAGAGAATGGTCGGCGATTGCTGAAAGTAGGACATGCAAAGAAAGTCTAATGAGACACAGCGCCGCACATGTTGTTTTGCCATCGAAACATATTTTTAAAGACCTATAAACGCGTTTTTATTTCACCGTAACCTCCCCGCCCCCCTTGAAAAAATCCTGGCTGCGCCCCTGTATGCTTTCAAATATTTCACCTTTTCAGTGGTTGTTGTAGTTTTTGTGGTAGGAGTTATGGAGGTGGTAGGAGTTTCCACTTTATCCTGAGATTGAGCCGCTGCAACAGATGGATGAGCATCCCTGAAAAATATATCAAAATACAATCTAAATGAACTGTATTTCCATATTAAGCAATATACTCATATATTATGTGTTATGTGTAACCTTTGAGTACGAAACTGAAAGATTATTGAGTAACACACCGAGAAATCCCACTGTTTCTCCAGTTATGTGGTGTGTTAAGGATTCAATTTTTACATTTTTTTTTATCATATGATCAGTATTTTTGATGATTTTCCATATTTTTCAGCAGGCTCTTAATTAATGATGGGGTTAAAAATTTTGAAAAATAGGGGAGTTCTAAAATTTTTAATTGTCAAGATATACCATAACAGCTATCGGGCTCGAGTTCTCAAGTGTATTGAGGTTTTAAAATAGGTTACAAGATACGAAAAATGGCTATTGACTATGGCTATTGGCTAAATGGCTATGGCTATTGGCTATTGACTATGGCTATTGGCTATTGACTATGGCTATTGGCTAAATGGCTATTGAGTTCTCAAGTGTAATGAGGTTTTAAAATATGTTACAAGATACGAAAAATGGCTATTGACTATGGCTATTGGCTAAATGGCTATGGCTATTGGCTATTGACTATGGCTATTGGCTATTGACTATGGCTATTGGCTAAATGGCTATTGAGTTCTCAAGTGTAATGAGGTTTTAAAATATGTTACAAGATACGAAAAATGGCTATTGACTATGGCTATTGGCTAAATGGCTAATGGCTATTGACTATGGCTATTGGCTAAATGGCTATTGAGTTCTCAAGTGTATTGAGGTTTTAAAATATGTTACAAGATACGAAAAATGGCTATGTATGATAGAAAAAAAAATGCTCTTTTCACATTTCAAAAGCTTCTGACCCTCTAACAACATACCAGAGGTCTAGTGGTTAAAGGGTTAACCTTTTAACCCCTAGGCATGCGACCCGTGATCTTGAGACCAAAATATTAATCCATTATAAAAATTCAAAAAGCACTTACGCATAAGCCTTCTTTGTTTCATAAAATTGCAGTCCATACAGCCCTCTCTCTTTAACCTAGAAAGATAAATTTATTAGGAGTCAGGAAAAATATTCATTCCAATTCATTGCCTCGTTTCTCTCACCGCGGAGGAATATCCAGGTAGAAATTTTGCTGTTTGCGGGGCGGTATTCTGCCTTGTATTTGCTGTAGTACCACTAATATTTTATTGTTCTTTATTTTTACTATAATATGCACACATTATAAACTAATTAAACTGTACAAAAGCGAGAGTGTGACTTAACATTAGCTGAGAATCCTCTAAAGATTGAACGAGAATATCGGTCAGAGACCGAAGACTTATCGATCGAAAGTTAGGGGATCCCCCAAAACAGCGCTCCTATTCCATAGTGACACCTTGTGTCCCATCACTAATTAATTAATAACTCGCTAATTATACGACATAATTCATCCAAAATCAATAAGCTTCTGGTACGACATATGATGAACGCACATGCAAAATTTGAAGCAGATTCAACCTCGCTTTCGTGAGATATCGCGTGCATCTAACAGACAAACAGACAAATACCCATCAACATACTTACCGATTAAAATCGATAAGTAACAAGATCGATCAACTTGTATAAGTAAAGTAGTTTTTATGCACAGTCAGGAAGGAATAGGCGAAGGTAGGGATTTAACGAAAAAGGTTGGAGACGACTGACTTATTGGATTGCCTATGGCAGTGGTCGTCAAACTTTTGAGACGTGACCCCATTTCAAAAATTATGTCGTATGATAAGCTTGTGACGCCAAAGTATGGCAAGGAAAAAAATATTTCAAACCACTAAAAACTAATCAAATTCCCAAAAATTTTATCACACGCTCTAGATTTCGTGTTACAATTTAATTATTGCCGTCAAACAATAGCCTTATTATAAAAGATATCACTGTAATTCAGAATACCCAAACTTGCTATGTAGTGCTAGTCAGCTCAGTGTAAAATGCACGAAATAGAATAATGAAAAATAAAACAAGAATACAACGCCGGACACTCGGCGGCCCCCGTAATATTCAAGACGACCCAACTTGGGGTCGTGACCCACACTCTGGTGACCACTGTTCTATGGCAGTGGTTTTAAAACTTTTTTGATGCAATGACCCCTTTGTCTATTTTGGAACTATTCATTCTAGTTCATTTCCCCCCCCCCCCCCCCCCCGCATCATTCCCAAGCAGAGGACGTGTTTTCACTGTACTTTAAAACTATCCAGAGCCTTGAGTATAGAGCAGTGTTTCCCAAACTTTTCAGAGTTGGGACCCACTATTTATTACCACAGCTTATGGCCACCCATTTAACTTTAATAAATTAATAAAACATTGATAGAGGAAACAAATTTATTTTCTCAAATTGAATTTTTAGTGAAGCTGGTGAGATTGATGAGCTTGTTTTTTGCTACTTTCCATAATAGACTTGACATTTATTTCAATTTCAGATAGTTTTAGACGTAAAGAATTCGAAAGTTGCAGTTTATTTCGAAATTTGCTTTTAATTCCAACCATTGCTGAAAATCCAGATTCACATTTATATGCTTTCTACATCTTTTCACGACCCACTAAGATTCCGGTGGGTCGCGACCCATAGTTTGGGAACCGTTGGTCTAGAGTCAACATTCTGAATTTCCTGGAGACTGAATCGCATAACTTCCTATGTCGATGAAATAAGTCAAAACTTCTTACTGGAACTAATAAAGCATAACAATCTCGAATCCCGGGAGTCTTGAGTAAAATTTTTCATTTTTTCATTATTAAATAGTCTATATCAATAGTGGGTTCGGTTTTAGGACCAGGGACCAAGTTACATTTTATGAAAATATTTACACTGTTATACCGTAATAGCAAAATACAATGAACCTCATTCCAAACTAAATTTAATCCCAATCTCAACAAATTCCTTTAAGTTATTTTTTAGCTAAAACATCAAAATTTGGTCAAATCAAACATAACGTGTGCCTTGCGACTTCCACTGCCTAGAAAAGCGTTTTTTAAATTTTCGCAGACCTCAATCAAACTTATATTGTTTACGGTATTATTTTCAGTATTTTAAATTGCCGCTTTTCAATCAAAAAGTTGCGTTGTCTTTAGTAAACTCGCCGCCGATGAACGTATTTACCAGATTCACAATTCCGTGCGCGTACAAAAATAAAATAATTGTCATCGTTATCGTGTAACAAATTTGCGGAAAATTTTCGTTTTAGGGAAAATAACACAAACGTAAAGGCGTTTACGGCCTAAATAACACGTTACGCTGATGAGTGATGAATACAATCATGCGCAAGTTTCTATCGAGAATGTTTTCATTCCACGGAAACGTCTTGAAAGCGGCGTCGAAAATGTGTGACGTCACACAAATATCCGATATTCTTATGAACGCTAATTCCGATATTCGAATGACGAGATATTCCAATACATTCGAATACTTTATTCGAATTGGCCATCCCTGGTGGCAGTATTAGGCGGACCAGATTGGATTACCCAACAGGCCAGATTTAGCCCGATGACCCATGTCCGGTCTATATGCTATCGTTCACATGGTTACCTCGTTTGTCGGTATCCAAAGTTTCATTTCGATGACACGAGGCTTTGTCTGGTTATACAAGGACCTCTTGCCATAGTTTGATGGAAACATATCTATTACTAATTGTTATTACTAATCAATTTTAATTGGTAAGTATGTTGATAGGTATTTGTCTGTTTCTCTGTCTGTCTGTTTGATGCACGCGATATCTCACGAAAGCGAGATTAAATCTGCTCAAGATTTTGCATGTGCATTCATCATATGTCGGACCAGAAACCTATTGATTTTGGATGAATTATGTCGTATAATTAACGAGTTATCAATTAATTAGTGATGGGACACAAGGTGTCACTATAGAGTAAGAGCGTTGTTTTGGGGGATCCCCTAACTTTCGATCGATAAGTCTTCGGTCTCTGACCGATATTCTCGTCTTTTATGTTAGTATTAATTACTGTTAGACTTAATAATTGCAGTAGTGGTTTTCTACATTTTTCTCGACTCTGAAATCCATTTCTCATTTTTTAACATTTTGTACGAAGAGTGTTTTAATATACAGCGAAAAAATAAAATACCGATAACATACTTCAAGTTTATAGCTCCCTCCAGTGGAATCTTGCACTATCTTTAACAAAGCTCTTGGTACGTTCTCGAAAGTTGTTTCAGTTCCAGACTTCTCATTCAGAACACAACCACGAGTGCTCTCTTCCCTCTCCTGAAATATTTTAAAATTTAATAGGAATAAAAATAAGATCATGCTGTCCACGCTATCGTGTCCACGCTTCAGCACACTATAGCACAAGAAATAATACTAATAAATATTAACTATTTATTCTTACACTTATTTTGGATATATTCAAAAATTTGAGTTGTTATAAGAATTCCACAATATAGAGCTGTGGTTTTCAAACGGTGGAGCTCATACCACAAGGAAAGCCAAACCATTTTTATGAAGGGAGCTAATAAAAATAAAAATATTTGTTAGACTTGAGATTGTCCGCCTTATTTTGGATATTTACATTTTTTTTAGATACTAACGTTCCATCCACATGTTTTTGAATAAAACATACTTTCGCCTTACTATCTGTTATTCGTAGCTTATTGTTAGCTAGTTATTTTTTTATCTTTTGCGCAATATTTTTTGCAAGTTTTCCCAAAGGAAAGAATGACACAAGAATTGAATTTCACAACTCATGACTTTCCAGCACAGTTTTTCAAACTGGCCCCTAGGTCCCCTGGTGGCCCATGGAATGTTCTCTAGAGGGCCACGAGCAAAAGCCACCACTGGATACCATTTGCGATAACTATATTAATCTGAAGTAAACTGACTGTAATTTGTTAAATTCTTTGACCTTTAATGAATTTATTTTTTTAATTTCGTTTGTTGGCCTGTTATTAACCATGATGATTCAAAAATATCTATTGGGAAGCAATTAAATAAAAATCTAGAATTTTCCAAACAGAAGGCCAGAGGATCACATGACTGAAAATTATGAGTTTTAAATGTGCTAAAGTGAACACTGTACTTACCACATAACTAGATGTTCCACTGCTGCTTGACTTGTCAAAACTAAATCCAACCTGAAAAGAGAAATTTAAATGAGATTAAATTAACTGTACTCATCCAGGGATGAATAAAGCTAAATTTATTAGTGGTCCGATTATGGCAGTATGCCATATCATGCAATCGCTAAGCATTTGAAATACGCTTTTCATCGCAGCTATGATTACCATGCGAACCACTGGTTGGTTATGACTTCCTCCACCATTAACTCCATGTATCCGAAACAAATAACTGGCTAACTAATCACATACCAGACATGGACTGGTAACCGGACCATGGTTTGCTTATAATTAAGCCGTCTTGACGTCTTCCCTCTCTTCCGGGATAAATATATAAATCCTAACCTATCCTAAATATTATGCTGTGCAGTAAAGAATATCTGGTAGAATTGGACTATATTTTTGTATTTATTCCAGGAGAGAGGAATCTCACTATCAATATATTATCCCAGTGTTTTTCAACCGGAGTGCCACGGCACACCGGTGTGCCGTAAATATTGTCAGGGGTGCCGTGGGAAATTCTACACTTTATGTGTCTATGTGGTGTAGCGCCCGGCAGGGTAATCATGCAGTTCTGTTCTATATCAGAAGGTGGCAGCAGCAGGTGGCAATCTGTCTTTGTTTTTATTTTATTACTATTCAAGATGTCCAATTCAACATCTTTCTTCAATGTTAAAAAAGCTTATAAGGTCTTTTCCCCACATTTTCAGCTGGTGGTGTGCCGCAGTATTTTCTCAATGAAAAAAGTGTGCCTTGGCTCGAAAAATGTTGAAAAACGCTGTCTAACCTATGTTACGCTAAGGCATGCTAGCTACACCACTCACCACTGCTTGTTGATTTGCTCCTGTCATGGTGAGAGATGTGATATTGACTTCTAAGTATCCGCCTTTCAAATATCCGAATGAGGTCAGGACAATGACAGGTCGTTCGTCATCCTGGAAAAATAAAAGATTATAATACTGCATGACTTTGATTTTCACCTTCCAACTCGAGCAAAGCATTATACAGCCATCTGATAATAATATTCAAGCAACTTTGAGGGACAAAATCATTTTAGTTCGGTACTAGGATATTGTATATTGAGCTTCCTGCCTCAGATACGTATGTGGCCATTGCCACACGAATGCTTGAATGAGATAGTATTAGAATTCAAACAACAATTAGTTTATGTACTGGTCATCGGTAAGTGACACCATTAATCAGATCAGGGAGAGGGACTCGTAGGTCAGATCTGGCCTACCGAAGTGCTTCGTCTGACCACTCAAGTCTGTTGAATTTATGACTATAGTTTTTATGGACATAATTTCTGTTGAAAATATCGATGAAAATAACGTCATAATGACCTCGATTGTTATATTGTGCTTCTTATTATTACATAAACAATAGCCTACATTTTTGGACTAGATTTTGTAAGCTCAGATCACAGTATTACTTCTCCAGAGAAAACAAGGTATATCTGCAAAGATATCAATAATTATCGGGATGAATAAGATTAGAAAAATATAAGATAAATAGAAAGAAATATTTTGTGAATAATATTCTTATTCATCTTATAAAGCAAAATTCGCTCTAAAAAAATTTGAAAAACACTCACTGTGATAGGCAAAAGATGAATCCTCCCTTCCGTTAATCCAATTCCAAACATTGTTAAAATCGATATAAAAATAATTGACTTCATTGCCTTTGTTTGGCACAGAGTGCACTAATAAACAAAAACACACAGGAGTGACCGGTATCAGGAAGCAAAAGACTAATTGAATAAACTCTAAATTTGATTATAATTAATTCCTGTATTTTAAAATTATGATTATTATTATTCTAATAAACTGCGGTAGAACCTCCAGCAATGGTTTCCGATTTGTGGTATTGATGACCGGACTGTTTCAAAATGAGGGTTTTGCAATCACTCTTAAAGGACAGGGTGGTCACTAGAAAAGCAGAATATTTGTAAGTCAGATGAGATCGCTAATAAATGCGTGTAGGTATAGGTTGAATTGGAATGATATCCCACAAGTCAACCTTCAAAACACTACACGAGATTGAGCTTCTAGATTAACACACTGCTCTGAAGCGCGCGGGCAACATTTCGAGCATCTATGAATGTAATATAACATATGCCTTTAAATAACTTTTTCTGTTTTTCTAGCGACCAACACGTGGGTGTCTTCTAATGTGGGGGCGGTCTCGGAATCGTAGAACAGTGTCGTGCTGTATTATGTATTTAAGTATACATTACACTGTAATGTAGATGGTCAGTAATAACCCATTGATATATCTTACCATGTTTTTCTATGCCACATAGTGCATACAGTGTAAAATCAATAAAATCTGGCAATAATGCAATATCTGAATGTTGGAATCCAATAATCAATAAAATAAAAGCCAAACTTCAGTAATAAATATTCCAATATGTATCATTATACTCTATGCACTCTTCACCTTTCAGAATATATTTTCAATGTGTACACATATTCGTGTAATATCACAGGCCTAAAGTCAGATTAGACGAAAAGTACTGTATATCTTTGCATATAAGCTGACACCCTAAAATGGCCTTGAAACGGTGAATTCATAAAACTTCGCATATAAGCTGACCCTACAATTGTAACATAGCAAATAGTTGCAGAAAAAGATGATAACCATTATTGTTATATTTTACTTTTATCGATAACGGTAAGAAGGGTTTCTCAATCCTCCATATTCATCCTCCATATCACTGTCACACTCCCCAAAGACATCCAGTCAAGAGTTATGCGTGTAAAAGCCATATGTATAGACCAAATTTTCAACGCAATCAGAATTACCGTATTTACTCGCAAATACGCCGAGTTTAAAACTCAAAAAAAAAGTTGCCCAACTAAGGGACCGTCTTATGCGCGCATAACTCAGATAGCACCAAAAAATTGGCTCCTTCGCGCATCGAGACTTTGATCACGCAACGAAATGATATAATGCTGACTTGCCGGTAATTGCAACAGCTACAAACCAAGCTTAATTCTCACGATAAAGAGCGTGCACGCACAATCAACACACGCGATCGCTTGTCTAGGTGTGATTGTCTGATCATAAACGTGACCGCTTGTATTTGATTAAATTTATTTGAATCTTTTGCATAAGAGCAACAGCATTGATCTACCAGCCGTCTCGTGGGCAAAACGTTATCATTTGTGCACAAGTAAGAATCAGATAGAAGTTTTGGGTAGAATAATACTCACGGCATTAATTCTTAACAATAAAACTGTAATTTCAATCATTTTGAACAACCATTTACGGTAACTGAAAGGTTGAAATAACATATGAATATGATGTGATAAATACTGTGCTGTACGTCCATGGGTTAGGCAACAGCTGTGTTTTCCGTTTTTTCCTGAATCAGCAAAACGGAAGGGTCATAAATCAATCACTTTATTTCCTGGTAGCCTCTTTCTTTCTGAAGTGCCGTTATCGGGCAGGGAGTGCTTCATTGCACCGGCCACGTTTTTGTTTTTAGGATTAAGACAAATAACAGCTGGTACACAAAGTCAATTAAATAATCGGCAGACACTTTGGCATACATTATAAAATATATCAGCCCATATATAAAGCTCACACAAATCATGTTTGAGAAGACTTGCGAAAAATAACCAAATTTATTGCCGTGTCCGCTCAGGATATCTCGACTACCTTAATATAAAATAATGATTGTAAAATATTTTCAATCAAAAATGTCCTCATGTTATACCTTTGGTACTTCAAGTCGGCGCTGATTTAATTCCTTTCATGTTGGCAGTAATTTAGTTGTGCCGCAAAGTGCTGTCTTCCATTACCATAAAATAGAAAATATAATAATCGAAAATTGTTTTAATCAAAATGTGAACAGCGGCGCTAGAATGTATGTGCCATATACAAGAAGGTAGCGAATTGCGATATTTGAATATTAAATTTGAATTGAACATCATTGACTGTAATAGATGCGTGCGCCGTGTTACGATTTGTGGAAACGGCGTATATGCGAATTTTTATAAATTCACTATTTCGAAGCTGTTATTAGGGAGTCGGCTTATCCGCGTGATAGGCGTATAGTCGAGAAAATACGGTAGAGTGGAAGTGGTGACTTCTCTACGGCCCATGGGCCGGGGCCTCGGCCCATCAGGCTATGGGCCGCGGCCTATCAAGTTGTGTAAAGGCTACATGGCTAACACAGACAGTCCCCGAACTCATAATTAGAGCTCGACCGATATATCGGCCAACCGATATATCGGGTCGATATTGCGTGTTTGCCGATATATCATATCGGCCCAACCGGCCGATATATCTGGCCGATATATATCAGCGTTGGTCGCTTTTCCACGTTCTAAAAAATGAGTATTTTTCCCCGGGAAATATCTGCGGCCGAGCGTTTTCCTTTTTCACGCTTCTCTCATTTTGCCTTTCAATGAACAGAGAGTTCTCTTCTATATTTCTTACCCGTAACTTGTTGTAAATTAATGCTAATAAATGCTATTTTGTTTTTTAATGCGCTGTGATTTGTATTAATAAAAGTGATTGAGTCGGGAAAAGAAAGTAGCCTAGCCTCCTCTCCTTTTGAGCGCTTATAGCGGCGGTAAAATTTGTTTCATGTCTGTTTCACGGAGAGAAAGAAAAATACGCCTTCCGGAATTACAATCAACTATCACACATTCTTATTTATCATTATCAGCGCCAAATAAAAAAGATACCAAATCGTGAGGACAAAAAAGTCTGTCGGTGCTAATTGCGTTACGGTGATAACGCTTATAATAATATCGTTTTGACCGTGAAACCAACGCTCAAACGGGGTGGCAACGCGTCATGCCGGCTCAAAACGGCTGCGAATACCGGAACTCTAACTTCTTCTACTTGTTAAACTTTGATTTTCTAACAATCGACGGAATTGACTGCTTGGAAGGAGCACGTTTCAAACGCGAAAGCGCTCGACCAATAATTACGACTTTACGTAATTTGTAACTTCCCTTCCGTAACTCCAAACAATTCCGTAAATCCGTAAATTATGTGCAAGGTTACTCCCACCTACTACTGTATGGATCAAAATGGACCTATATAAGCTTTTTACTCACTGCCTTTTTTCTCTTGTGCATTAATGTATGTTCTTATTATTTGCTGCGAAACTTTTATTAATGATGCAAGCACTGTGTAGGACTGCTTTATTTTTCAACATAAACTTTTGATTGAATGAAACTGAATGTTTCTTTCTATTTGTATTTACTGCGGGTTCGAGTTGTAGATATCGGTATGTCAATATCGGTTATCGGTCACTAGTTGGCCGATATATCGTTATCGGTATCGGTGACAAAAAGTGATATCGGTCGAGCTCTACTCATAATAGAACTATAATGTGAAAAATCCGAACGAAATTTTGTCCAAACCCTAACCTGGTACACATACTACAGGAGTATATTTTTTTTGGTTCGAATATTGACAACTTTGTAAAAATTGAAAATTTTGGTAAGATGATTAAATTTTTCCTGATGGGGCCGGCATGGCCCAATTAGATGGGCCGTAGAAGAGTCACCACCCCTGTAGCAGAATTATGCATTATGAGCCAACCCCTTAGTTTGGCAACTGTTTTTTGTAGTTTCAAACTCGGCTTGTATGCGAGGATATATGATAATCACTTTTATTTTATGCCACAAAAAGACATTGACTATGTATTACATATTTTGGGTAAAGGGAAGTAAAACAATGTAAGGTAACTGTCTGAATAACGCCAAAAAAATATTGATGGGATATTTATTCCTGCCAGACAGAATTTTTTAAAAAACCACAAAAATTTTACATCACAGAATCATATTTTTGTTTGGTATTATTTAACCAGTCACTGCGTTCATTTTACATCCTATTTTTTGGGGTCTCCCGAAATAGAGTCCCACAAGTAGGCTACTTCTTGTTTTCCTAACACCCACCAGACTATGTTATCCAAAAATTATTTCAGTATGACTTCACAATCACATCATAGAGCTTGCCAAAGACATAATATTCGAATGACAGAGTCAGGTGGGGGTTAGGAATGACATATGCAAAAATTTATTTGGGTGATTCTGTGATTATTGAAACAGTACGCCGATTACCTAGACTCTGTTTTTGCGCGATGTTCTGGAATTTGTTTAAAACAGCCTTCCTGAATTTTTATTCTGTGCGTTTGTCTAGCATATTGCCATTATTAAATGTAGAGTTCAAAAATAATTTACTCATCTCATCTGAAATCAAATAACAGACAGAGTATAAGAGAAAAACATACCAGATCTCCATCAGGTCCGCTCACTAGGCTGTGATTCACTAAACGAAATTGCAAATTAATTCAATAGCCAACACATTAATCATGTGACACGCAATAACATTTGGTATCTCAGCTTACAGGCTTAAGTATTGGTACGGTACTGGCTTAGGCGGCCTATTAAATTATTCAATCAAAAACCACTTCTAATACATGTGTAATAAAAATAACGGTACCGGCACATTCGGAAAACCTGCCTTTGAAACGAATACCGTGCGAAATCCTATCTCAAAATAAAAGAAAAAGTACGGTAATACTGTAATAGCAGTCACTAAAAGTAACAAGGCGATAACGTTACGTGTTCCACCGAAAAATTCTTAACAATAGGATGTCAGAAGCAGTTGCCAAATATTTCATCAAAATAGCTGATTTTATACCATTTGAATCGTTTTTTATTTGCCATTTGGGCAGAGTTACTAAAATAAAACAGAAACACAAAAATATTACCGTAAGTAATATCTTTAGCGGGAGTGGATGGGACAATCGTAAAATATCATTGGGTCTGTTTGACATCTGCAATTTCCCAATAGCTATGAGAATAAATCTTGTGAATTTGCTGAATTTGTATAATACCTATGTTATATAAATATTATAATTCTCAAAAATATTTAAGCTATATTTCTATACAAGTGAGTTATTTAATTTTTTATTTTTTTGAGGTTTTCATAAATACAAATATGATTTACCAAAGAATAACGAAAGTTTATGAAATAGCTTTAACAAATCTGGTAACCTTCATATGCAAACAACATCCTGGATTGCGAGTACACCTAGCGGAGTTTCAAAGTCACAAGTCCTGTGCTCATACTGGCGCTACAGTGTTGCAAATCTTGCAGAAAATTTTCTAAATTGATTCTTGTTGGACAGAACGAGCTTTCTTCCTGTTACTGTTTGCTGAAAATGTGACTTTCAGTGCGAAGCTTGTGAAAGACAATATGGCTAAAGATGTATCTCAAGGAGAAACTAAAGCTGATGACAAGAAGGTGTCCAAGAAACGAGAGAAAAATGTAATTCCCACTAAGGTGACGGCAAATTTTGTAATCTTAGCGTACTGGGTCTCGTGAAGTACGGTAAAAGCCGTATGGTAACTTTTAACAAATATGGTGTGAAAATGAATGATTTAAATGCTTAACTAACACAAAACCAAAATTTGATGTGAAAGTACAACCTAAATTTTCATTTTTTTAAATAAGAGTGACAGCATGCTTAGTTAAAAATTGAGGATGTTTGATTTGAACTAAACGCCTGTTGTTAGATGTTATTTAAACAGTTACTTGGTGTGTACTTCACTAGACCTGCATACTGTAGTATAAATAAGTTTATTCCGATTTTCTTCAGCAATGCAGGGCAGAACAAATTAATATACTCGCTTTTTTCTCTTCTGATCTTACCATATCTCGGTGATTGTCTGTGTGTGTGCGTCCATGCTTAAATTAGATTTATTACCTTTGGGTGAGCGAACACGTACTACTTCCTTCATCAATACCTTTTCGTCTAAAATTTGTACGTTTCAAACCTTACTAGAGGTTTTGTTTGCTTTCCCGATTCTATAATCAGTTTTATTCATTTTGTTTACTTTATCAATTACTTTATCGTCTTTTATGCTGATTATGGAGTCAAAATAAACTTATACTTATATGATAATCAAGAACGAATGAAAAATGTGGGAAAATTCACCCAATTGACCAGAAATTAAACAACAACAAACAAAGTGAAACATATTTCCCATTTATTTTCATTGTCACAGGTGATATTGCACAGTTAGTAATTGAAAATCATATGTCTCAAACCTTATTTGGAATTTTCCTTAATATCTGTCATGTATAGTTGCCTTATGCATTGCAATTTATCCCTAATTTTATTCTTCCATTTTGTGAATTTAATTTTAAATTATAGAATACTCGACCCTAATACTGTAATATTTAGTCATCTGAAATTGTGAATCTTAAACATAATAGCATGAAGGAGGGGTAGGACTTTGATGACCGTCTGGTCGTATCACTCCCTCCTGTCTATACCAAACTAATTCATTACTTATTGTTATTTTTATTATTACAATGACTGTTATTTTATTTCGGTAGGCGAAAAAATGAATCTCTCTCTATAATTTTTCAATAAATCATTTTATCTATGTTACAGCTAATCATTAGGAGATTGCCACCGGCACTGACAAAGGATGAATTACTTGAAATAATTTCTCCACTTCCGCCTCATGATTATTTCCGATATGTCTCTGGAGATAAAACGTGAGTTAGACAGTATTTTTTGTACCAAGATCCATATCCTGCTAGCTGCTAGTTAATCGTTGATACATCGAGGCAGTGTGGCTTATCATGCTAAGCGTTAGGAATACGCTCGCAACCGCATCTCTGATTACTCAGCATGGGTTTGTAGGTTCGAATCCCATGCGGAGATGATCATGTGCGAGAGGATTGCTGAACTCCTCGACGTCGTTGGGTGGTTCACGTAACCGCTGGTTGGTTACGCCTTCCTCCATCATCAAGTCTATGCTTCCGAAAAACAAAATAATTAACTAATCCCATACCCGACTTGGAATGGTAAACGGAGAGAGGCCGTGGTTCGCTATATGGTTACGTCATCTTACCGGCTTTCTTTCTCTCTCCCTGAGATAAATATGTAAATCCTATTAACTCAAACTTGTTTAAACGTACGACTGTTTCTCTTTAGATTGGCCCCTGATCATTTCTGCAGAGCGTACATTAATTTTACTTCTGCTGATGATATCATGACATTCAGAGACAAAGTGGACGGCTTTGAATTCACTGATTCAAAAGGTATTCACATACTGCTCTTGACTTTTCAGTGTTCGCATTAAACAAACGTTGGGTCCTCTTGTAGTTCTGTACTTCAAGTGGGTGTGGCATAACGTTTTTATCATATTTCAATCTTATTAACCCTCACCTGACTACAGCATTCAAAAATTACGTCACCACGACGGCACAATCTTGTCATAGAGTTTGCCAAAGTATACCTACGATCTGAAGATGGTGGACATCGAACGCAGTATGTGTACCAGGTTAGGGTTAGGCCATAATTTCAGGTACAAATACTACGAGAGTAATTGGCTAGTCCCCGAACTCCTAATATAACTAAGATAAGGAAAATTGGATTAAGTTATGGCCTAACCTGGTACACATACTACGTTCTGGTGTCCGCCATCTTGGTACGCATACTTCAGGCGCATTCCAGTGGTAGCTCATAACTTGTTTACTGTTACTATAGCGACACATTCTGGAGCCCAGCAAAGTCAAAATTTTATCTTTCAGGAAATTCTCAACCCTGTGTGTTGGAATACGCTCCATTTCAGAAAAATCCAAGAAAAGTTAAGAAGAGAGAAGACGCAAAGTGTGGCACAATAGACGAAGGTAAACTTTTATGTTTTTATACTCAGAGCATACCTCGATTAAAAAAAATACGTAAACGCTGGCACACGACGGTACTCCCGTAGTATGTGTACCAGGTTAGGGTTAGGCCATAAGTCGTTTTCTCTGAATCGGCAAAACAAAGGGTCATGAATAGGGCTGGGCATTTTCGAATACCTTGTGATTTCAGAATCGGATCGGATAATTTTTTCGAATTGAATCGAATCTGGAATATTTGAAAATATATAATTGTAAGCGACTTTATTATAGTCATTGGTCCTCTCAACAAATGAATTACTGAAGAAATAGAATAAATCACTCAGATAGATTACTGAGCCTTCACACAGAATAACAAACACGTTTTATAAATAACTCACAGCAGAAAATAGTCATAAGTTAGAATTTCGTTGAAAAACTATGACTTCAAGGAAAAATAAATTGGGGAATTCACCTCGACCATTAGCGGAAAGATAAAAACAAGATGACGGCAATTCGAAATTTAGCTCTGAACCGATTCGAATAATTTACTATTCGATTCGAAATGCCCAGCCCTAGTCATGAATCAATCACTTTATCTCGTGGTTGCCGTTTTCTTTTTGAAGTATTGATATCAGAAATAAAGTATTGAAATCAGGAGTGCTTCATTGCACTGGCCACGTTTTTAATAGGATCAAGACAAATAACAGCTGGCAGTACAAAGTCAATTAAACAATCTTGATTGGCAGACACTTCGGCGGTGTTGAATACATTATAAAATATGTAAATAGTAAATATAAAACCCAGATATGAAGATTACAAAAATCATGTTTTAGAAGACTAGTGCGGAAAAAAAACGACCCCAGGAAGAAATAAAAAAAGCATAGCGTCCAATAAGACGCCCCTCCCCCGAATCAGACCAAAAAATGGGTCTAGAAAAGCGACTTAATAGCCGGGGAAATACGGTATACATTTCGTAGCTAATTTTTTACACCTTGAATGAGGGTAGGGGTTGGAATTTGTAATGTGTAGCCTGCGGTGCCAACATAGTTTAGACTGACCTATTAATCCAGTGGTCCCAAAAGTTCCTTGGCCGGTGGCCAAAATTAAAAGTGGACGGATATTCGCTGGTCGGGAGAGGGAAGCGCCTGTAAAATGTCGGTACTGGTGCGTATAATTACGATACAGGTATTATAATTACGATACAATTGAGATATGAGTATAATTGAATTGTCACGAATATACACGTGCTTAAACTGTGATAATGACGTAACTACAACGGTATCTACAACACCAATAGAAAAAATATCGGTCAGAGACCGAAGACTTATCGTTCGAAAGTTAGGGGATCCCCCAAAACAGCGCTCTTACTCCATAGTGACACCTTGTGTCCCATCACTAATTAAATAATAACTCACTAATTATACGACATAATTCATCCGAAATCAATAGGCTTCTGGTATGACATATGATGAATGCACATGGGCAATATCTGGAGCAGATTCAATCTCGCTTTCGTGAGATATCGCGTGCATCTAACAAACAGACAAATACCTATCAACATACTCACCGATTAAAATCGATGAGTAACAAAGTATCAAACTATTTCACTTAATTTCGGCGGGCCATATTAAATCGTTACACAGGCCGTATCTGGCATGCGGGCCGCGGTTTATTAATCACAGATTTAATCGCTTGGTCATATAGCCAAAAAAAGTATAGAGAAGAAAATGAATCTTAAATTTACTTCTAGGAAATACCAACAAATATACATTTTCTAGATCCAGACTATACAGCATTCCTTGAATCTCTTGAAGCAGAAGAAGAGAAAACAGTGATTGACCTGGAAAAATATTTGGAAGAATTGGAAAAAAAAGAACAAAAAAATAAAGTGGTTGAAACTCCGCTGACTGCTTTTCTCAAACAAAAGAGAGAGGAGAGAAAGGTTTAAATTTTAAAATGAGATTTTGAGTAATTTGCTTTAGTGGTAGGGGGTTTCCCAACCTTTTTTCCCCAGTGCTCCAAATTTTTTGAAAAAACATTTTTAAAAATCTCGCAACCCAAGGATATGCTCGGATACCAAACGGCATGGTCAAATAGATGTTGCCAATTTTTTACGTTTTGTATATTTCACAATTATTACTGAGCAACACTTCAATTCAAAATTAATAACATTTACTAGGAAATAAACTGAATAACTTTTAATTCTTTGTTTGAAACAAAGAGGCCTGAGAGAATTGTCAGGTTTTGGGTCACGACCCATGCGTCATGGACCCATGGAAACACTGATTTCAACTATGTTGTAATTGCGAATGTTACCTAGTGGATATAAATATAAATATGGCTCTAATATGATTGGTCAGTAAGAGGTAACATTCTTTATGTATACGTCTTATCTTGGACTTAACTCAAAACGATGAATTTTCTCACCTACGCAAAATTTCGTACATGGAGCGGCTAGGGATGCGACGAATCCAAAAAGGTTCGGCTCGGCCGAATCCCGAGTATTTGTGCTGGACTCGTGTCCGAGTCCCGAGTCCAATACTTTTACATAGCTACGAAACAAATACCTAAAGTGATGCTGTTGTTCTCGTATATTGGCCGTAAATTAAACATTCTGTATGAAAAGACTATGTAATTTGAAAACGTTGCACATAAACACTATTGCTTTCGAGACAATCATTCTCTGGGCGACTAGTTTAAATTAGAATAAATAGGTCATATTCCCCGTCGAAGGAATACTTTGTTACGTAACTCTGATCGACCGCCGCGTCGACTGCTGAAGACGCCGCGCTCGTGTCCTGTCACGATAAATACGGGCCATAACCCACACGTTTGGAACAAATTTTTTATGGGAAATTTTTACTCATATGTCATCTTTTTTAGTCGGCGCTGATACAGACGCCCATCTCCGTGATAATTGGGGTACTAATGAAGAATTGCCAACTGTGGAAGCATCGAATAAATGTATCTTATAAATATATCGTAACAAAATAGCTAGCTATTCTTCGTTTGAAAACCATCAATAGCGATTGTCGAATCCGCGGAAAATAAGAATGTGTAATTGTTGATTTTGATTCAATAAGAGAGACGCAAAAGGCGAAATGTGTTATATGCTAAGTTACGGCTGTATGACACAATCATCTTCAATAATACAAATAACGGCGCTTTGAAAAGCAAAATCAAATTTTTTAACATTAATTTAGAAGTGAGAGCTACAAGTAAGAATTCACATACGACTCTCGCTAACAGACAGAAACGATAAATGTGAGAATTATTATGGTTTTCTTTCTGCGCCTATCGTTGTCTTAACAATTCCCAATTTTGCATAACGCGCGCCAACACCTTTTCACATATAGAAACGTCAAACCAGATTAAGTGAGGCAGGTAAATTATGTATCATATGGAAATATTGTTTCGACTAGGTGGAAATGCCACAACTCGAAACAGCACGCAATGGTAAATTTCCGGAGTTTTTATTTATTATCTAATATTAAAATAACACAGCCACGATAGGTATTGTTCGCTTAAAATAGGGACCGTAATTTACAAACTGTGATATGGAAGATCAAATCCAGAAGATGAGGCCAGAATAAAATTAATATATTTATGAATTCACTAATTAATAGCTGTCTTTAATATCTTCGCCGATTTGTACTCACACTTCTGCCTGAAATATAAAAACGAAACTTCGATGTCCGGCGTTGCGTGAGAGCTGATAGTGAAAAAGGGTGCTTTGAAAATATAGTTTACCAACCATAATTAGGATGTCGGTCGCCGTAACGATCGCGGTGACAAAAAAACAATTCACGATTGTGATAAAATTACGGATAAGAAGTAAAGACGCCGCGTTGTTATCGAGTCTCCAGTCTTCTAGTAATTTTCTACTATCGGTAAATTAAAAGAAATACGGTAGTCGAATTATTCGATCAGGAAAAATTCGATTTTGCCCGTCACTAATCGCGGTGTATGTAAATAATTATTGAATAAAAATAAAAAGTCGGCCCGATTAACATCCAATTACCACGAGTAATAGTTTCCAAATTTATGCACATTTAATCGATGCGACTTGCGAGATTGTTTTTGTACATATATGCAATTGTAACGCCACTGACATCTGCGAGTTGTACTTTTCTCTTAAAAGAACCGTAATTTTCACTATTTTATCGTTTTATTTCTAACATTTGTTTCTCTCCGGAAATAGCTAGATCATTTATGGAACGATAACAGGCGAACAGCACGACATGGTTGCCGCTGATTACGGATTAATCACTGTTAGAGGATTAGCAAGTATATGCTTGAAATAGGCCGTGGTAAACATTCACTAAACGACGTCTGGCACTGGAAGGCAAGCTACGCGCGCAACACTGGAATTTATTCAGCTGACTTTCGCTGACATTTTTTTGTTCTTACGGCGTCGTGAATTTGTAGTTTTTTGTAGCGCCTAGTTTTAATTTCACCGTAGAGAAAATAGCTTGAACAGTCTCGTGGCAAAACAGAACGAAAAAGTTGAATTTCTCGTCGAATCCGCCACCAGTCTGCGCTTGACTATCGCGTGACGTATGATATCCCGGACTCGGGTAAAATCATCAAAGACTCGGGCCGAATCCGAGTATCAAATTACGAGAGATTCGGCCACGAATCCGAGCACGAGTCCGAATCTTGTCGCATCCCTAGGAGCGGCCCATTAGCGAACTCTTGCGTATAGAAAACAATAATACGATTCAAACAAGCCTTCAATGGCCTTTCAAGCCATCCTGGTTAGGTGACAAATGCTAATTAAAAATATTTAAAAATTTGACTGGGGAGTGTCGAGATAAGGAGGTTAAGTATAAGCATTTGCCGCGGCATTCGGGGAGAAACGTTCTCTGGCCCATACCATGGGCCCATCTAAAAAAAAACGCATTCCACAAGGTGTCCAAAAACTTTTGCTCAATTTTATAGTAATAGCAATTGTATATTTAAATTAATTTTATTGTATGATAAATGAGAACTACAAATACAATAAGAACTATTAATAAACAAAGACAAAGAAATTTTTAATTGTAATTACTATGAAATTGGACAAAATTGTTTGACACTCTGTATTGATTGGTCATTTTTTCTATCTTGAACAGAGAATTCGGGAGGAACGCCGCCGAGTCGAACAAGAACGCAGGAAAAAGAGGGATGATGAAAGAAGAAAACGAGATTTGGAAAGAAAGAAAAAACTGGATGGTGAAAGATTGAGAAGAAAAAAAGAGGTTTCTGGAGAAAATGAACTTTTGTGTGCAACACTAAATTACTGGAACTTTTGGGTGCAATCATGCACAAACAGAAATTCAAGTGCTAAATAAATTTTTTTTGTTTTTGCAAAAGTAATCAAGAAATTCATAAATTAAAGATGATACATTTCAGTTTATTATTTTCACGCCTAAAATACCATATAGAAAACAAAATTTATATATACAAATATGAATATATATTCAGTAAAAAAGCACCAAAAACACCTTTTTTACTGAAATCCGAAACCAGAGTGAGGCAGGATGGTCGTGACTTTATAGTGATTGACGACTGATCGAAAAGTATAATTCTCTCGGAGTGGAATTCCCTTAAACTCTTTTTGAATCATTTAAAATTTCCTGTAGCATTGTAAACGTTGTTCGACACGAAACGTGTTTTCAGACATAGAATTCATAAAATCGACTACCTGAATTAGCTTCAGTCTTGATATGGGTGCTGCAAGCATGAAGTGCAAATTTCTTGATTCGTGTCACGCTGTATACAAATAAATAGCACTCTCTAATTCTGACAAGGGCAGACCACAACTCGCGGCCAAATACGGCCCATTGGGTAATTCAATATGGCCCGCCTGATGCCATAAATCTCTGCTTTTGTTAACATCCCCATAATGCTCTGTTAACATTTTTTTTGTTCATAGTTTACAAATTCTTACCATTTTGTTCATGAAATGTAACTTTTTATGTCACACTTACAATGGCCGGCCAGTCTTGGTGGGCATAATTTTGGACCTCTTGAAGTATGTGCACCAAGATGGCGCACAACCTGAACATAGTATGTGTACCAGGTTAGGGTTATCAGGTTGTGCGACATCTTGGTGCACATACTTCAGGAGCACCCAATTTTTGGCCCCTTGTCGAAAAACCTTGCCCACCCATTGACTCTTTGTTTTGTCACAGACAGGGTAACCGCTAGTTACTCTCCTTTCATTTCTAGGACGAGAAAAAGTCTTTCAGCAAGAAAGATACAGAAGGAAAGAAAGAAAAGGATGAATTGGACGATGAGTCAAAGAAAACAGAAGGAACACAAGGAAAAGGAGACGCCAAATTACTGAATAAGGTCGGAAAGTACATTTCGTCGCTTCTGTATAACATTTTTTAATATGACGCATTTGTAAGTTTTTCCTTGAACAAGAGTCTACGCAGGTATCCACTAGTAGGTAAAGAGTTACAATAATTAAAAACTATTAACTTTTCAATGTTGGAATCCAAATTCAGGGGGGGGGGGGGTTATGGGGTCGAGGACCGGAACCCCCTTCCTATTGAAATGTAAAAGAAGCTTTCTAGAATTCGTCAAGTTTTGCGCTGACTATAAGCTACAAATAACAGATAGTGAGGCAAAAAAACACGTCGAAAATATGTGTACCTAATAAAGAAATGTAAATATCTAAAATACAGCAGGCAAGATCAATTCTAACAAATAATACTATTTTTAACTTCATTTTCCTTTGAAAAATTGTCTACATCCCCCCTCGTGGGGAATACCCCTTCGTTTGAGGACCACTGCTCTAATTACTGTTATATTAACAGAAAAGTTCATGTTCGAGAGAGAGTCTGACTATCGGGGGTATTTTTAGTCACCTGGAATTAGAACAGCAGTGGTTGAGCGAGAAACAAAATCAAGAAAGTAAAAAAGCTGTTTGGAAAAAGAAAGAAAAGGAAATTCAGGCTTTATTGGTAGGCTTGGTAGAACAGGGTTTCCCAAACTTTTTGGGCCGCAGATCCCTTGTTTGTGAATCTTTTTTTAAGAACCCCGTTTTTTACTGCATTCGTTTCTTTGCCAAACCAACGAGTAAGGATAATGTTTCATTTACAACATGACAACATCAAGGTCACCTCACACATGTAGGTCGTTGCAAAATGCAATTAAATTTTAATTGTCTTTTCTGACAGCAGACAACAGACAGTATATTTGTCCGCAACGTTCAACAAAAACGATGCAAGGGCTCAATCATTAAAGATCGATTGGACTCTTTTCATAACGTTGCAGACCCCCCGTGCAGTCATCACGTAGCCCCAGAGGCCTGCGGACCCCAGTTTTGGAAACCCTGTAGTAGAGGGATTAGTTTTCTTATTTGTCTGAGGAGAGGAAAGTTGATAGGACGGCTTAATCATATGGCCAACCTATCCTTGTCAGTTGTTAGTTTAGGTTCGTGGATATCATGTTAGTGGAGGCCGTAACTGAGCCATGGAAAGAAGAAAGTCGATGAGACAGCTCAATCGTAGGACGAGCCATGGCTTTTCATCCAGTTACCAGTACATGTCGGGTATGGGATTAGCCAGTTATTTGTTTTCGATGATGAATGTAACTGTAACTGACGAGCAGCTACGTTAACCACCCTACGACGGCAGGGAGTTCAGCAATCCTGTCTCATATATTTATCCCCCAAAGGATTCAAACCTGGGCAGGGTAAGCAGTGGTGTGAAGACAAGCGTATTTTAGAGAACTAGGATATAATTATCTTATAAATCTCAGGGAGAGGGGAGGACAGCCAATGCACAGCGTAAGCCAGCCTCTCGTTCGATTACCGGCCCATGTCAGGTTGGCCAGTTGTTGATATAATTGTCATATTCATCGCCGGGAGAGAGGGGAATCTATAAATACATGATTAAGGGGCGCTCCAGAAGTATGTGCACCAAGGTGGCGGACACCAGAACGTAGTATGTGTAGGCCATAATTATATTCCAATTTTTCTTATTTTGTTCTATTATGAGTTCGGGGACTAGCCTAGTGACTCCTATAGTATATTTTACCTGAAATAATGGCCTATCCATAACCTGGTACACTTAATACGTTTCGGTGTCCGTCATCTTGGTTCACATACTTCGTAAGTACCGATTAAGGACAGCCCATGCAGTTGAGAGTGATAGCGTATTCTTAGGATAAGATTTTTGTCCAAGGGGAGAGGAAAGAACAGTCCATGTATTTATTACTTAAACCTTACTTAGGATAGGATTTTCATATTTGTTTTGATGAGAGGAAAGGAGATAAGATGGCTTAATCATATATGGATGAACTACTTTTATTTGGTTACCAGTCCTGCTTAATAAGCCAGTTTTTAGCAATGATAGTTTTTACATATAACCACTAAACAAGAGAGATATGCTCAAATATATGGACACGTAGAGTCACATAATTTTGATGACGTCATAGCGAAAAAAAAAGTAATAGCCTTCTGGAGCAAATTTTTATCTTTAACCACTGAAAATTTCAAAGCAATTGGTCCAGTATTCGGAGAGAAAAGCGACTTTTTAAAAACGTTTCAAAGAACAACAACAACATAATATTGAAACGATCGTTATGTCCACTACGTGTCCAATAAGCAGAGACAGGAAAATCGTGTTACTTTTCTGCTTGTCAATTAAGCACCTCATGCGCTCTCATTTTTTTTTTATTCTATTTCATTCATTTTTCCTCGGTAATGCATGGAAAAAAATTAGCTCATTAGACTGAAAATATGACTATGTCAATGCTGGTATATTCGGTTAAAATTTACCAACTCTGATATGTTTCAACTTTACATAAAGTGTTATAAAAAGTGTTTTATGGATTAAAAAAGCGATGAAAATCAGCTTCTAAGACAGAAAATACGATAACACTTGTTAGTCCAAGTAAGTATTCTTGGTTAAAATGTTCCAACTATGCTATACCCTCCCCTTGTTGCATGGTAAAGTTTCAATTTTATATACAGTATTGATCACTAGAATCCTTCTATGTTTTTTTCATGAAAATTTGTTCAAAACAAATGTGCTTCGGGCAAAAATGGTTGCAGGGATACATAAAAAGTTGATTGAAAAAGATCGCTCTATATTAGTGTTTGCCAACCTTTAATGGCTTGTAGCCCCTTTCCGAAGGCTTTTAGCACCCATGCTCTGTTTATCATTCCAGTGGTATTTATAGTAGATGTAACATCGGGCCCAAAAATTCCAGACCGACCCGGACCGGTGGGCATTAAACTCGACTCAAGCCTGACTGATTAACTGGATTTGCAGGCCCGAGCCAGAAACAAACCCGGAATTCTTAAAATATGCAGCGAAAATTTTGCAATGGTGAGGTCTAAGAAGAATATTTTTGGGGGTCAAAGGTCGGGGAAAGGTCCATTACAGCTCCTCTGTTTTGTTCAAATTATTTCTTTTATAACAAGTATTCCTTAGTTTAGTTTTAGTATATATTTTTCATAAACATACATTTAATTAAAAAAAGTCAGCGATAGAGAAGCCCGACCCGAACGTAATGATTGATATTTTAGGCCCGACCCGAATTTCGGCTTCAGGCTTCAGATCTTAGCTCTAATTTACAGTCTTATTTTGATTGGTAGATTCCAAATCCGATATTTTTCGAACAAAGTGAAAACATCCTGTGAAATAATCTTATCAAGCAATGGAACTAGGAAGAACAGGAAGGTTTCTTGTAAAAGAAAAATGAAATCAGTTTTGCGCTTAGCATTGTGCCCCCCCCCAACTGCTCTGTGGCCCCCTTGGTGGGCAATGGGCCCCCAGTTGGGAATTGCTGCTCTATGTTTTAGTTTGTGTAGAGTTTTGGGTGCTCCGGAAGTATTCGTACCAAGATGACGCACAACCTGAACAACCCTAACTTGGTACACATACTATGTTCAGGTTGTGCGCCATCTTGGTACAAATACTTCAGTAGCACTTCAGTTTTGTATCAGATAAAATTTGAAAAAAAACGACTCTTTTTTTCAGGGTAAATTTGAAGCAAGTGCAAAAGTGGCCCCAAGGTTGTCCGATACAAAACCGAAGAAGTCTGAGCCCCCAGTTCGTCGTGGACCCATTGGGTCAAAACCCCCCAAAGATTCGGCAACAGAAAACGGGGATAAAGAACGCAGTCGAGATTCCCACAACGATCGATACAAGGACACAAGAGGGGGCTATGATCGAGGGGGAGGGTACAGTAGCAGCAGACCAATGAGCTCTCGAGGGAGGGGACGGTCGATGTCATCAAGGGAATTCCCCCCAAGAAAATGGGAGAAAAAAGATGATCCTCCCCCTCGTTCAAAAAATAAATCATGGACGGAAAGTCAAGATAAAAAGACAGATAAAACGAAATCGAAAGTACGTATTTTAACTTTAATCTTAAATTCTTTTTTGAGCGCTCCAGAAGTGTGTGTACCAATATGGAGCTAACTAATTTTGTTCGCCTACTTTACATCAAGTTGTGTAAAGAGACTGAAACCTATGGGCTAACACAGACATTGGCTAACTTGCAATGGAACTAAAATAAGGAAAATTGGAATAAAATTATACCCTAACCTGGTACACACACTACGGGATTACACTATTTTGAGCAGTCATGTTTTTGTGGCGTTGTTTACTGAGCTTTAGGATGTATTACACTGGAGTCCAGCGGCGTAGCCAGGATTTTTCAAAAAGGAGGGTCTGACTGGAGACCTGGAAATGGGACTTTTCAAGATTCTTGGGAGCTAAAAAGCGCTTCAAGCTACTAAAATTTTGCTATGCGAAGTTGCTAAGCGGTGCTTTTATATTCGACCCTCAAACTGGCAACACCCCTGCTCGTAAACCCAGGAGAAGTTCTATGTAGCCCCAATGCGGCGCTATTTTTAAATTGATTAAAAAATAAGTGTAGTCAAATCTGTAGTGATATTGCATATTTTATGTTGATTTAATTCTATGCCTGAGTTCATGACCTTTCATGCAGTTATTATCTTGCTCTGGCCTGCCCCTAGTGTATACTATGTATCTTGTTTTCTGGTTCATGAAGTAAACACAGTACTCTGAAATATCGAGTTTATTCTGGATAATATTTTACACTCCGGTATAGAAATCAAGGGTAGAAATATTATTACAAAATCCTTCGGAATGGCCAAGTCGAATCTCGGGGCCTAGAAACTTTCACTCAACACTGATTTGTTTTGTCACAATCAGTTGTCAACGGTAAAGGGTGAATATTTATTCAAAGTTTAATCATTTCTTTTATCAGAGACCAGATCGGGAAATCTACAGACCTGGTAGTGCTCGATCAAGCACGTCGTTACAGTCGAGTGCATCTGAGATTCCTCCACGGACACACAAATATAGTGAACAGCGGAGCAAGTCGAGACAAGAAGACGAAAAGTAAAGAGTTGACGATGATTCATGAATTGAACGAAATCACTGAAGTTCTCAAAATTATACCTAATTCCTCATAGCACTGTTGCAAATTTATTTTGTCGAGACCAAAATGAAATTTTGTTGGCAACAGAGCTGGCCTTTGTCTATTGTGTGTCGCCCTATGCATACCAGATAGAGCATGGCTCCATAGGGAAAAGATAATAATTAAAAATTGAGATTTTGTAATGAAAATGATTGAAAAATATTCGAAATTTAGGCATAAACCAATTCCAGGATTTAATCTTGTTTTTCTTGGCCCATTTTTGCCCTAACAAAAATTCTGTGGCACTATAGCTTTATCATGCGGAGGAAAAACTACAAGAAGAAAAATCATCCTGCAAAAATGGGCAATTTCACATTAATAATTGGAATAAAAATTTCCACTAAGTAGCAGAAAACAGCATCATCATCATCAAACATCTCCAAATGTGGGTGCCATATTGTTTTTTAAAAATCAGAGTCAGCATTTTGGAATTAGTAAGAGCTGGAATTTCATGCTCATGAAATTGTATCAAATATTGTCGTACACAAGAGACTTCTCGCGAAAATTTAGTTTTCACAGATTCTTATAATAGTCTGAATATTTGAATGAAATTTGTGTGAGAATTTCTCCATAATCTGGTTTAACATGGCTACAATTTTTTTCGTTGTTGAGCAGAATATATATTTTGAGTTTGATTTGTCGAAATATAATTGAAAAATTCAATGTGTTGATTGTTGTTGATTGAACAAATTTTAAAAAGGTTCTTGGTAAAGCTCTAGAAGGGTCAATCTGACCAATGACATTAAACAACATGATGCGCAACTCCGGCATTTTTGTCCGAAGATCGTATTCGATAGCACGCTCCAATGCACATACTTGACGAGACGAAAACGAGCGGATGTGTGCTGCTTTCAAGGCGTACCGGTAGCACGAATGGTGTTCGTGCCTGCTTTGACAGTTGTTGTCGATTTTAATGATATTTTTGAAAGTTGGGGTAAAAAGAAATCGGTAAAAGGTAAGGTGAATGCTATTGTTGTATATCACACCCGGGCATCGCACTGTTAAGTACATGTGGGAAAGCCAGCCTTTGTCAAATACTACGAAGTTATTAATTCAGTACGGTACGTAGTTGCCCATTTGCCGAAATTACATATTTACTTACCCCTTATGGTTTCAAATAGTTCATGCACCTCCAGTTAGATTTTTTTAATCAGTGAGGATATATACTCATTGTTGATTGCTGCTCATTGTAACATACTATTACGCATTCACTTTTATTTGCGTATTGAATCAAAGTGTTAACAAGTTCACCTAACATTTCACTCATACCGGTCTATATTGTATAGTCTGATTTCTCAAGTATTTGGAGCCACGAATGCTTGTAATTTTCTGACTAAACCCTTTTATTAGTTGGTTTATATACCAAATTCAGTAATATATTTTTTAAATAAAACATAAGATATTGGATTTATTATCTTTTCCATTCTGAATCATATAGACTGCTTTATTTATTCTTAACGAAAATTAATAAATCTCCTCTCTTTCTTCAGATGTGAAAGTTGTGGACAAACCTTTCAACTTTCAACTATTCGTCTAATCTCAATTTCCTATTATTTATTCACAGGACAACTATAGCAGACGGGGAGATATCAGAAGTCTGGCGACATATCAGTGACAGTGTGATTCCAAGAAATATAATGCATTTGAAAATAGAAAATTGCAATAGAAAAACAACCTATGGGGAGGCATGCAAAGACATTTGACCCTCCGGTAGAGTTGTGTATGGCCCCCACATCCTGCAGGGCTTGAGGAAAATAACTAAAAATTCCAAAGCGTAAGATTGCATAAGCGGTCTTATTTGTAAAAGGGCACAAAACACGCCAGACATACTTAAAACAGCTTTGGAAATGAGGATTACGGGTACCTCACTGCACCTGTGTTATATTTGGTTCATCAACTTTTGGTAGTACTATAGAAGAAATTCCGGAAGAGGTATAATCATCATTCATGATAAAATACTATCATATATTTTTTGAACAACTTCAATCTAGACCAGGGATCTCAAACTCGCGGCCCCAGAGAACTTCCAGTGCGGCCCTCGAACGTTTAACAATAATTGTAATAGTATTTTGGAAGTTTTTTTATTTTTATCTAAATGTAATAGATTTTTCAAACCTTCTAAAGTGAAATTGATTATTCACACAGAAAACAATTTACTGAAAGTAGTTTTGGAATATTGATTTTTTTCGTCCACATTTTGACCCAATTAAGAATACACATCAAGCTAGCAAAAGAATACTTGAATAAAACACTTGAGTAATTAAATTAAACGCAAAGTACATGAAGAAGGTGGCATTATCGAAGAAAATGGGAGTTGTAACATTTCTGCTCTTCACAAAATTCTGAAGCACATTGTTTAATTTGTCATATTTCCATCAATACAATCAAAAAACACAATAAGCTCAGCAGTCAATATGACAAATTCGAAGACCAACTTCGAACAGAAAATTTCCATGTGTTTGTATATTAATATAATTATACAACGACTTAGTTACTAAAAATCAATATCAATAATAATTCAAGCAATCCTATGCCACGCAATGTAGTGCGAAATGTCTTGTCGAAAAAATCTGTCATTTGTTTTTTTACTGATCTATACATGAAATGTTTAAGTAACTTTTTTGCATTACTGGAATTAATTAAACATTCGTAAAGATCCAGATAAACCCATGATCATGTGGCCTCGTTAGTTAGAGTTGGTACTATAAAATCATTTCAGACTGGCCTTAGTATGCTGGTGACACAAAAAAGATGCCAAACGCCAGGACAAATGTAATTATTAAAACATTGAGTTTATACTGTAGTATTTTTGTTAATTTTAGGTTCATATATTTAGATTAAGTTATTTTTAGTGTATGTATTATTCTTTCCTTATTCAAAGCTTGTTCAAAAATGATTTTGATGGTTGTACATAGAATTTTACGATTTTTTATAATAAATACTGTAACTTGCAAATGTTGCAATAATAGTGGAATGCAAATATTAATATGTAATTGCATTTGAAATTGAAGAAAATAATAAAACTTAATCCAACTGTTTAGTTGCATCACAATATATGTCACAAACTAAAACTATCTTAAAAATATCTTTTAAGTATACATTATCAAAAACTGTTTGCGGCTCTTTTTACAATTTTCAAAATGCAATGCGGCTCTCGAAAACCCATGAGTTTGACACCACTGATCTATTCTAGACGATTCAAGCATTGCTTTGGGAAATTATATCACTTCAATTAAATTGAAATAATCTCGCTATATTAAATACAAAATCGTTGCTATCATAAAGGTAAACCAATTCAGCCACTCGAAATATACTGGCCTTCACAAAGCAATGGAGGCAAAATTGAGAGTTCATGAGCTATGAACATTTGTTCTTTTCTTTGTCTTGAACTTTCCATACTCCACAGCCCCTATTAATTTTTTTTAATTTTAATTACCATGTGATGGTCATACATATCTTTAACTTGTATTTTCTGTCATGATGTATTATCTCAATGTGCCAAACTATTAATTAGTGTGCATATTTTGCTTCCAGATGACATAAATGTATTGTCATGTTTATTACCTCAGCTTGGAGTATTGACAAGAAAAAGGTGCCAGTAAATTAGGTAAAAAAATTTTCAACTCATTGTTATAATCAGAATTCACAATCAATAGGAATTATAAACAGCCAACAATCAGTGAGAATTATATGCGAAATCCCTCAGAATAAATTTGTCTAAAATCGGAGGAAGGCAAAAAATATAGGTAGTTTCCATCCACACAAGCATTTCAAGAAGACTTGCTCGAGCCAAACTAAATGAGCATCGTCAGGTGATCGGTAAGGGTGCAAGTTGAATTCAGCCCTGCAACCTCCTGCATAGAAGATAATATTAATTAGTGGGCTATGAGCTAAATTCCTAAATTTAAACAAACCTATCTACGATGCATTATGTACCAGCAATGTTACCTACGATTAACTGAATATGTAATATGTCTAATAAATTCACCTACAAAAGCAAGTTCGATAGGTGCAAACTTTGTGTTATGGAATTGTATCGCAGCACAGTTTTGTATGAAATTTCAATGATTAAGCGCAAACATTAAAATTACTAACTTTGAACTTTGTCATTATCTGCAAAATGTTCCACACTAATCTTTCCGCTATCGCGTTTGTAATCTTCTCTGATAAAAAAAAACGTCTATGATGTCCAGAATTGCTCTTTACAGCTTGCCTGTTATTCCAGCTTTCCAAGTAAGCAAAACTTCTAAGATATAGAGATTATTTTGTTTCGTTACAGGCGCAAAAAGGCAGGTACTATACGTAAAAAAGACGCCGAGTAGCAAGAGCGAGCGGAAAACGGACGCGAAAGGCGACGAGAAATATGTGCATTGGAGCGTATCATGAAATACAATGTTTTGCCTGTAGTCTTATGGAGTGACGTCAGAGTTGCCTATCATGTTGTTTAATGTCATTGATCTGACAGTGATTCCCATCTTTTTCATGAAATTCCCCACTTTGTCGATTTTGTGACTCTGTTCCTATCTCAATATGCCGAAAACGGCGCTCCCGAAGTATGTGCACCAAGATGGCGCACAACCTGAACCCAAACCTGGTACACATACTATGTTCAGGTTATACTTCGGGAGGTCCATAAAACTGCCTCATTTACTCAATATTTCATGAATCTTTAGCTAATGTAATGCGCAAGTCGTACTCCCACTTTTGCTTAGTTCATAATGTGTGCATAGAAATGTATCTTAGTTTTCATAAATATCCGAAGAAAAATAGTGATATCAATCCAAAAATTCTTGGTTGGATAAGTTTACAACTCTGTTTGATCGGATTCAGATAATTTATTTTTGTTGTGCATGCAAGTTGTCGCACATATAACCATCCAACAGAGAGGATTCACATTACTGAAAAGAACGTAACTAGTTTAAATTAACATATTTACCCCATTTCTACGCTTTGATTGTGTTTGAGACACTTTCAGTTCTCGTTTCACCATTGAATGGAATAACGACATTCGTTATTTAACGAAACCACAGACTTCCGGGCGGTTCAATGAATTGTTTTGATGTTGCCAGATGATGTAAAAATAACAGCAGTAATAAAGCAATTAAATTGATAATGAGAATGAACACTTAATATGTTAGGTATATTCAAATACAAAATATACTTCATGCAACTGCTTTAAACGTAAAATATAAAACTATAACAAATTTATGTTTGAATATTAGTCGAAGACTAATAGAAAATATTGATAATCTGGCAAGGTATAGAAATTTAATCAGCTGAAAGTGGGAGTCCTGCAGATTCACTTTCGGTTTTAACGGGTACCGTCTTGATAGATTTTTATTTTACTATTATTGGAAAAGTTATAGCAGGGTAGCCGATAATTTGTGGTGTCAGTACCGTACCGATACCCATATCTTGCGTTTGGTCAAGTTAAGGTTAGCCACAGACAGATAGAAAGAGAGAGTGTCGTGATGCAAACACCGTACCAGGTACCATGACAGCATGATGTAAGTTCTAAAATAACGCCAAACAAAAATTAGATGTGAAAATACAAGAGTACAAACCGAATTTCATTTTTTTTCTAAAAATAAAAGTCTGAAAGGGGTGGAGGCTAACTCGCCATGCGACGGCGCTTAACCAGTACCGGTATGCCCGCAACTACACGAAAG